GTATTAACCAAGCCGTGTAATCGGAAATTGAGCTTTCCAACTTCACGGCTGGGGGCTAGGGTCAGTGCTTTTTTCAACCAAGGCAGGTCAAGGGTCCAAGAGCCTTATCCTCTGAGAACGATTCTCCGACGATAAGGCTGGGGGCTAGGGAGAGTGTATGACTCAACAAACTGACTGATCGAAGTCGGTAAAAGAGAAGACGCTCGTACACAAAACATTGGTCTGTAAATTTAATTCATTTTCAGTTTTCCATACATATTATAACATGTCACCCTTTGAGCGTTCGCTCGGGGGCTATTTCTATCTAATATTCTTTTCTGAGTATTGATTTCAGGAAAATTCTATTCAACATTGTTGAAGACTCCATGTCTCTATGGTTCTACACCAAGATCGACTAAGGCGAGTACGATGAATGTTGATGAGGCTTCGTCGCAGATTCTATGCCTTCTCGATCACTCGAGAACGGTTGGTGGATCTCGACAAGGAATACGGAATGAAGAGATGGTGTACCCGTCGAGATAAAATTTCTTGACTTCAATCCAAATTCTCGATTACAGCAAGACGGGAGACTTAATCGTATGCTCTGTACTTTCTTGGTTGACGTCGGAGATTGACTCGGACAAACCCTATAGGTGCCCGCACGAGGCTGATAAGGGAAGTCTAGCGTTATCTCTGAACTCACCGAGAACGGTCACGTGAGCTCGATAATAGTTACTCCAAGGTCTGCGGTTGAGAATATGAATTTGTTCATTTGTATTAAAGTCGGGGGCTACTGTCAGGGTTATGGATACCACATACCTAATAGTAGTTGACTAAATCTCGACAGGACCCACCACATACCATATCTTATACGGAAACTGACCTCGGATATGGAGGGAGTTCCGGATAAGGAAAGACAACCAAAGTTCTACATGGAAACGACAAGGACTACTCGGATTGTATCCATATTGGTTTCCCTAGTTCTACTTGGACAAGGGGACACCTATGGGTATAAATACAAGGCCCCCTAGGAGGAGAGGGGACACGAAACAATAGATCAAGACAGAAGATCAACATACAAGCCAATATACACTAAGACAAGACACCAGATATCGACTTCAGAGATAGGCATGGCTAGTCCCCTACGGTGCCTATGACTACCGTCAGGAGAGATATAGCGTTGTCTCTGATCTCGCCGGATGCGGATTCGAGGAAGAAGGCTACCCTGTTGTCGACTACGAGTCAGTACTACAAACCGCCAAGTCGACAACAGTTAGATAGGCTACCCCAAATATTGTACTGGTGTGATTATGATGAATAAGAGCAATACCGGCTTTGGCCAATAGGATGTAGGGTTATTACCTGACAATTCAGGGGCCCGTACCTGTATAAAAATCCTCGTCTCCATCTCTTTTGCCTAAGTCTCGCGTACATCCTAGTGCCAACGATCCCCATACTATACAAATACTGGAATCGCGACATCAAACGTCGACAAAAAGCAAATAATGTCATAGGATGTTCTAGACCCTTCAAACATATCCCATAAAATGTGTGGAAACAAAGATATGCGAATGAAAAAATATCTTCAAAATTATCCTTATAAAATAATCATCAATGAGTATTCAATAGTAATTAACTCATTCAATAGTAATTCTACTGTATCAACAATAGTAGGTATCCGTGAAAATATGAATAGCTACATAACCTAATACTATCGATTACTTCACTACAGCTTGAAATTAAAAAAAAATGTGACATGGATGACATAATAAATTTTGCAAAGCTGATTTCAATCATATGATTATAAGATTTACTATTAAAAAGCGTATATATACTTCTCAAGTGGTGATGACAGAATTGTAACGCGTAAGAAATGTAGCTATTTACATTATTACTACAATTGACACATTTATTTAGATATTGTAGGAGATAATGATCGCGGTAATATATGATAAATTATTTGTTGTTACAATGATATTCTTAATAACAAATCAAGATATATAAATCCATTACTGTTATAGCTACACTTCTTAAAAAAAATAGGTTAAAACATATTTATTATTAATTGTTATTAACATTTATATCTATTAACATAAATAATATATAAATATATTTAATAGATGGAGAGGTCATAGTTGTGTGAACACACAACTTATGTTGCTAGTTCTTCAGCCACGTGAACCGGACATCACAAAAAAAAATGCTGATAAACTACTGGCCATGTTGGTTTGGGCTGTGTTTAGTTGTTTTGGCAAAAAAAAAATTTAACGTACACGGACAATGTAGACTAATAACAAAACAAATTACAGATTCCGCCTGTAAACTGCGAGACGAATCTAATAAGCCTAATTAATCTGTTATTAACAAATATTTACTGTAGCACCACATTGTCAAATCATGGCGTAATTAGGCTCAAAAGATTCGTCTCGCAATTTACATGTAAACTATGCAATTAGTTTTTTTTCATATTTAATGCTTCATGTATATGTCCAAACATTTGATGTGATGGAAAAGTTGGAAGTTTGAACGTAAACCTCCGATGATATTTTAACCAAACATGTTTTTAAAATACAATATAAATCTCTTCTATTAAATGTTTGGTCACATGTATGGAAAATTAAATGTGGACGAAAAAACCAATTGCACGGTTTGCATATAAATTACGAGACAAATCATTTTAGCCTAATTACGCCATGATTTGATAATGTGATGCTACAGTAAACATTTGCTGATGACGGATTAATTAGGCTTAATAAATTCGTCTCGCAGTTTAGAGACGGAATTTATTGTTTTATTATTAGTCTATGTTTAATATTTTAAATATGTATTCATATACTTAAAAAAAATTTGGCACACGAACTAAACACAGCCATATCGATATGGTTAAAGAGATAGGGTAGCAGGCTGCCGTACGTCGCCGATGATTCACCTAGCAGAGCCGCAGTAGTAGAGTGTACAGTTTTGAATGCGCCGCACCAGCCGCGCTACCCCTCCTACTAGTACGTACTTACCGCAGCAAGCTAGTGGTAGACGTTATTCTCTCCGTTGTATTTTGTATTTTAAGTGCAGCTATTTTTTTCCTAATTTTGATTATCTGTTTTATTTAAATATTTTTTTAAAAAAATTAAAAACATAAGTCACGAGTAAAGTACTATTCATATTTTATCATCTCATAACAACAAAAAAAATACTAATTATAAAAAAAATTTCAAATAAGACGGACGATTAAAGTTGGAACGGAAAGTCATAGCTGCACTTAAAATGGGACGGAGGAAGTAGTCTACTTGGTTCGATCGTTGACGAGAGAAAAACAAAGAGAAGAGGAGAATGAGATGAGCCATGCATACGGTTGCGCAGAATAAGACCAAGACCGAAAAATTCGTTAGTAGTCGGTTTCAACCAGTGAAATACCAAAATATATTCTGTCAATTCAATTAGTGATATCGGTTAACCGAATTGACCCATGTGGCCTAACCTAGTGGGCCTAATAAGCCCACTAATTCGGCATACTAAACCTTAGAGGCAGGGTAGAGAGCTGCTCCTCCGCCTCCATCGTTCCTCGGTTCACACCACCTCCGTCTCCATCGCGCTCACGCATCCATCCTCTGCTTGACTACATCCATCGCACCGCCTCATTAGCGTGCACCACCTCGCGCCTCCACCTCCAACCAGCCTCCGCCTTCATCTCTTCAGTCCCCACCCTCACGATCGAGTTTCAGGAATAAAAGAGAGAGATAGAGAGTTCGGAGCTCCTAAACGTGCGGCGCTGCCATCGGCGACTTGCACTGCACTGAGATGAATGGGATTTGGAACTTCTCGTGGAGTGATGAAGATCGATGGGATACAAGTCATGGCAAGATTAATTTGCTTCTTTTTTTCCCCTATGAGTCGTGCTCTTTTGCTACTAGCATCGTATGATAGTTATTCATTTGAGTTGCTTTGATTCATCAATGTTGTATCGTCGACTTATTTATTTTTGTGATTAATTCTTTTGTTGTTTAAATCACTGTTATGGGTTAGTTCGGTCCTTAATCGAAACCAAAACAAAATAACTGAAGACTAAAGTGCTCGGTTTTGAATTTTTTTAAGATCGACAAGTCTTGTGATTTTGAAGATTGAATTTTCCAAAAAAAAACAGAGAAACCGAGCTGAATTTGTCGGTTAAATCGAATAGCCACCCCTAGCCGTGCTGCCGGCCGCAGCACAAGTGCACTGCAGGCAAAGGCGAGAACACACGTGTCCTGTACTCCAGTGATCCAGTCTAGTCCTAGCCGGTCGGTCCAGGCCGGTCCAGACCATTCTTTGCTGGAATGGAGACCTTGAGATTAACAAAGGAGTTGACCCTTCAGCCCTTCACTCTAGAATAGTATATAACTAGGCAATGCTTCATCAACTTGTACTCTATTTATTTTTAAAAAAAGGAAAGAAAACTTGTACTCTATTCATCCAGGCCTTTCCTTTTCTAAGGAACGGAAGAACGGAGTAATGTGACATTTTCCAAGCTACGAAAACTATTTCGTACAGTTTCTTTAAAAATAATATATCAACTTTTAAAAACCCGATTTTTTTATTTGTAATAATTAATAACTCTAAAATTAAATAAGTAGTAAACATAGTTTCAAAATTATAGAAATAGGAAGGACGCTCTTCCGTATAGCGTCCAGATATGGACGTTGTTGAGGACTGCGTCCATGTGCGGACGCCCTTGGCGATAGCGTCCAGCATAGTGGGCTGCTGCGGACCTAACCTGGGCCGATCATCAAACAACCGAGTCAATAAGCCTAAAAAATACAAAAGCCGGGTCAATAGTTTGATGATCAATGATCCGAATGTAATTATTGATCGGCCTTCATCCTCGTGCAAACGCAATCTGGTAGAAGCAAATTAACCGACATTCGTCCTCGTGACAAACGCTATATGGTAGAAGCAAATTAACCATTCTAGATACAATAATTTTGATGATAGTAATATGTGTTGTGCGCTTGTGGTCAGAACAGCTGCATCAGTCCATGAGACCTTTATAGGAAGAGGCAAATCCCACTTATATATAATTACATCATGGCAGCTTACATCACTGCACTTACATGAACATGTTCTACTGTCTGCGCTTCAGTTTTAAACACTCTTCCCTATCCAAACAAAGAGCCTAACAGGAACATGCAACTACATGTTGAGACGACAAACACTTATATTCCGTCCATGTGAAGAGCTGAACACCTCCAAAGCCATTATCCTTAGTTTTGTAAGCCCCCTATGGCCCTATAGCAGTAGCAGACACCCTTGCTGTCTTTATGCAACAAAGCCACAACAATCACATATGCTGGATATCTCATAGAAGGATCAATCTGAAATTCATTCTGGAAACAGGCCATGCGCTCCATATTTTCCTTGATAAATTCCACCAATTATGTCAGGATCATACTACAAAAGGACATGCAGATAGGTCAGCAAATGAAACAAAGTTACAAATTAATGGCAACCAGTGAAGATGTATCAAATTATCTTCGGCTAATCCCATATTGTAGAAAAACAATATTATCTTCAGGTTGCTAGCAGAGACCATGCAGGGTATGGTATCAGCGGAAGCCCGGGGAAGACTAGTGGACCGCGGCGACGGCCTTCCAGGATGGAGGCAGACGGCGGCTGTAGCCTCCCAAGATTCACGATGGACACGCCTCCCACATATGGAGGAGAAGGGCAGCGGTGGCCGACGGTGCCTCCTCTCGCTCGGAGGAAGAATGGAAGAGGATTGCGGCAGATGGGTAGGTTTTGTGCATTTTTCTTTTTCCCATGGATGAGGAGATGAATCATGAATGGGCCACGAATACGATGGGCTGTAACAGCCTGGACGCTGTGCACCACCACGTCCCTAGGTGGACGCTATTTACGAGAGCGTCCACGCCTGGACACTAAGATGGATAGCGTCCTTCCTATTTTTACAAATCGTGCCCAAGATTTACTAGATATTTAATTCGTGGATTATTAATTATTATAAAAAAAATTCAGCTTTAAAACTACTTTAAGGGCCCCTTTAAATCGCAGGGTTGAAAAAATGGAGAGATAGAAAAAACACAGGATTCTGACAGGAATTGAAGCGTAAAATAGAGGATTACAAAACACATGAAAAACATAGGAATGGTTGTTTGATTGTTGCGCAGGAAAAACGTAGGAATCAGATGAAAAAGATAGACTCAGGGAAAATTTTCCAAGAGGTTGAAGCTTTTGCTATAGGAATTTCATAGGAAATTTTCTCCAAAATCCATATGCAATGTGTCATTCTATAGGAATTTCATAGGATTTAAAAAGCTTCAATCATTTAAATCAAAAGGCCAAATAGGAAAATTTTCTATACTATTTGAATCCTATAAAATTCCTATATAAATCCTTTGATTCAAATGGGCCCTAAATCTTCCAAGGAAACCTTATCTTCCCCGAATAGGATTCTAATTCCTTATATTCCGAGAAGATAATTTCCATCTTTATTTGTCATATTACCTTAATCAAAAGACATCTTCGCGTATATAATCAAGTGTATTTCATGAATCCGTGTATAGGAGGTATGCATTATCCTTAACACTAACACCTACTCCCTCCGGTTCCATAATTCTTAATGTTTTGAACAATGACACGGCCTTCAAAATATATCTTTGACTTTGTTTTTCTACTGTAATATATTCAATAAATAAATGCATGTTTACTTTTCTTACAGTACTTTAAAAGATAAATCTATATATATATATATATATATATATATATATTGTTATTGATGATCAAAGTTATAAAAATTTGACCTCTACCTTTTCTAAGACTTCAAGAATTATGGAACCGGAGGGAGTACGTCCCTAAGATAACTTAGTCGGTATATCCCATCGATACAGATGCGGTAGAATTTTTTTATTACATGGATGTAGACACATAACAATCAAATATGCTCATGAACTCATTCATAACACACCCTCAAAGAGGCAAAGATCAACAATAAATCTCTGACCTCCCTGAATTTCTATCTGTAGTGCAACCATTTGTGTTTAGTATTTGTGGGTATCTGGATTTGAATCCTGGTAGGTTGAATCGTGGTTGTTCATGCACCCGCAACTCCACTACTTGTATTAGAAAATCATATTAATTTATATTTTAAGTTTGAAATAATTAACTTAATTAATCATACACTAATAGTTTATCTTGTTTTATGTATAATTTTAATCCCTCTCAAATATACGGTGAAAAATTGGATTGTGGTGGTGTGGCAATGATGTATAGCAAGAAGAATAAATAAGCAATCAAGTGAACTAGCTGGGTGGCCCGCGCAATTGCGCGGCTAGCACCTAAACAAAATCATTTTTTTATTATGATTTTACTTAAAATTTATTAAATAGCTATCTCATTGTCTTAAGAGTTTGAAAGACCAAATCTTATCATCCACGTGTTCCTAATTATATATATAGTTTTTTAAAAGTCACACCAGTTGCTACCTCTTATGTCATTTCCTTTTTTATTTGCTTGCTCGCTCTACCACTATTTTTGTTCATTCTCCTTGGAACCTTTAAGAATTAGATCTTATAGTTTTTAGAGTTTATTGTCACGTTGGGTTTCGTTTTTATAATTTCTAGACGTCCCGTCAAACGTTGCCATTATACTCCTCTGTATCCCGTCCACTGTCTCTTCTCTTTATTGTTATTAAGATTTTAAAAATTAAATATAATTATCATTTGGGTTCATTTTTACTTTCTAGAAGTCCCGTCACTGTCAGCGGCTTTGCCATTGTACTTCTCTACGGCTCGCCCGCTGCCTCCCTTCTTTATTGACATTGAGATTTTAAAATCGAACATGATTATCATTATTTTTTTTACTTTTGAAAGTTCCGAACATTTAAAAATTGAACCTTGTAGTTTTTAGAGTTTATTGTCTTGTTTGGTTTCATTTTTTATAATTTTTAGAAGTCTCGTCAAACGATGCCACTATACTCATGTGCGGCCCGTCCGCCGCCTACTCTTTTATTGTCATTGTGGTTTTAAAAATAGAACATAACTATCGTTGGAATTCATTTTTTTTATTTTCTAGAAGTCCTGTCAAACCGTCGGCTCTGCAACTGTACTCCTATACACCCCGTCTACTGCTTCTATTTTTTATTGTCATTGAGATTTTAAAAATCGACTATGATTATCAATGGGGTTTATTTTTTTTACTTTTTAGAAGTCCCGACAATCGCCTTGCTCGTTTGCTTCACAGCCTGTTGTCGTCCCTCCTTTTAATTGTCATTAGGATTCTATTTGGTGTTTTATTAACATTTTTTATATGTCGTATCAACCGCCATCACTCTACTTCTTTATAGGCATGTTACTTAATTTATCTCGTCATATGTTTTAGATGGTATTTTCTTTCAATAGTCTTTATTTTTATCACAAATTTTAGTTATTTATAAATTGTATTCCTAATTTAAATCTTATTTTTCTTTTTCTAATTTCATATTTTCTTTTTCAAATTTCAATTAATATCGTATTGTGTTCTTTTAATATTTTTATTTTTTATTTTCAGTTTCAGTTGTTTCAAAATTGTATTCCTACTTGAACTCTCTTTTAATTTTTCTAATTTTGGTTATTATTTTATTTTTTATTCTGAATTTTAATTAATCTCGTATTGTGTTCTTATATGGATTCTTCTTTCAATATTGCTTATTTTTAATTCCGATTTTTAGCTAATTTTAAATTGTATTCTTACTTGAACTATTCTTTTTTGTTTTGCTATTTCGGATTTTATTTTTATTTTTATTCCCAATTTTAATTAATCTCGTACTGGGTTCTTATATGGACTCTTCTTTTAATATTCCTTATTTCAATTCAGAATTTCAGCTATTTTAAAATTATATTCCTACTTGGACTCTCCTTTTCTTTTCTAATTTTGGATTTTATTTTATTTTTATTTAGAATTTTGATTGATCTCGTATTGGGTTTTTATATGGAAACTTCTATCAATATTGCTTATTTTTAATTCCGAATTTCAGCTATTTTTAGATTGTATTTCTACTTGGACTCTTCTCTTCTTCTTTTTTTCTAATTTAGGATTTTATTTTATTTTTATTTCGAATTTTGATTAATCTTGTATTGGATTCTTATATGTAAACTTATTTCAATATAGATTATTTTTAATTCCGAAATTTCAGCTATTTTTAGATTGTATTTCTACTTAGACTCTCATTTTCTTTTTTTTCTTTTTCTCTGATTAATGTGGGAATTTTTAGCCCCCACAGCGAATATGGTGCCTTCTTTTCGAGCTAATATAATAGATAGATACGAGGGGGGCGGTCAAATAGGGCGGAGAGAGAAGATGGGTTGATGATAATAATTGGGCAACTCTCGTCGTCGTCCGGTAGGGAGTAAATTATTAGGGGAGAGGGAGACTGGACTGTTTGCAATAAAGCAATGCTAGTAGTAGTAGTAGTATATTAATACCGAAACCAAAACCGCAGTAGGGGGGAGGGGAGAGAGCAGCTTGCCGTCATGCCATGTGATACATGATAGGAGTAGAAGGAGAAGAGGAGAGAGAGTGTGTGTGAATCAGTGAATTAAGGTGGTATAAGTAGCAAGCGCCACCGGGGAGAGTTCCTTGCTTGGTTTGGTTCCTCTCTGCTTCTCTCTCTTTTCCTCCCTCCGGCGACCACCAGCATACCATACCATCGCCGGCTTGCTTGCTTCCTTCCTTCCTTCCTTGGGGGAGAGAGAGAGTGTGTGTGTGATGGGGACGGGGTGGCGGAGGGCACTGTGCACGTCGGTCCGGCGAGATCCGGAGCAACAAGAGGTGAAGAGGCGAGGAGAGGCCCCAAGCCCCCGGTGTGGAGGAGGCAGCAGGCTGGGTGGCTTCTTCTCCGCCATCTCCAGCAGCCATAGCAGCAGTAATCCAGCAACAACGACGCCCACCCTGCGATGCCGCACCAAACCAAAGCCACAGTCCAGCAGCAGCGACCACCAGCAGCAGCTTCCGTCGTCCGCGCCGGCGCCCAAGAAGAGGATGCCTCTGCTGCAGGCTCTCTCCGTGCCATCCTCGCCCAGATCCCCCTCCAGATTCGCCCTCCTCAAGGCCTCCATCCTGCCCAACAAGGTAGGTACCTCTTCTTCTCCTTCTTTAGAAATGATGATGACTCAAATGAAGAATAAATAGCTCCTGCCTGCCTTGGCCCTGTGATCCCCCATGCATATCATATATATTATGCTCTTCTTCCTCTTCTAATCTGGCTGTAGCGGCGGACGGACGGAGATGGAGATCGAATCGATCAATCATTGCCACCACTCTCTCTTTTGTCCTAATCCCCTTCCCTTCCCTCCCCTCCTTGAGATTCGATTCGATTCGCCTCACGCAATAATAATAATAATTACTCCCTCCGTTTTAAAATATTTGACACAGTTGACTTTTTAGCATATATTTGATCGTTTGTCTTATTCAAAAACTTTTGTGAAATATGTAAAATTATATGCCTATATAAAAATATATTTAACAATGAATCAAATGATAGAAAAATAATTGATAACTACTTAAATTTTTAAACATGTGCTAAAAATTCAACGGCAGGTAGTAAAATGGAGGTAGTAACTAATAATAACATCACAGGCAGAGGAGCAGCTTTCCTTCCGTCCTGCAACTGCAATCCCCCACCCCGCCACTTCCTCTTTTCTTTTTGTTTCTTTTTAAATTTCTTTCTTCTGGGAATGGGAGTGACAATGCGAGTGAGAAGCAGAATGGAACCCATGAAATTAACGGTGAAGGTATAATTGCAGATATAGGTAGGTAGAGATAGATCGAGAGGATGGATGATCTCGAACAAGATGTAAAAGGATGATGATGCAGGGCCCAAAGGAAGAGAGAAAGGCTGCTCCTCTCTTTTGGAGTATGTCAAACAACAAGTGAAAGGCTGGCTGGGGATTGGGGAAAGATGGATCAGATTCAGATCAGATCGCCCAGCTTTTTCTTGATTTTGATCCTCCATCGATTACCAATCAATCAAATGCCTGCCAAAAAGAAAGATCCTCCAGCCTTTCTTTCTTTCTTAATTTTGCTCCATCCACAGCACTCCACTCACTGTCGACTCTGTTTATTTAGTTTAGGGATTAGGGATTATTACTAGTCTTGTTGTACTTGTTGATTTTGTTGAGAGAAAAGAAAAGAAGGAATTGATTGCTAAAGAAATAAATAATGTTGGATGGATGCAGAGCCGGTGCGGCGTGTGCTCCCACGGCGTGAAGACCGGCGCGGCGGCGGTGTTCACGGCGGAGTGCTCCCACTCCTTCCACTTCCCCTGCATCGCCGCCCACGCCCACGCCCTCGCCGCCGCCACCGCTCTCTCCTGCCCCGTCTGCGCCGCGCCATGGCGCCAGGCCCCCTTCATCAACAAGCGCACCACCACCACCGACGACCACAAGCGCAAGTCCTACGACGACGACGAGCCCCTCCTCGCGCCCAAGGCCGCCGCCGGCGCCTTCAACCCTATCCCCGAGGACGACGAGGACGACGCCACCGAGTTCAGGGGCTTCTTCCCGGCGCGCCCCAGGAGCGGGCTGGCCGTCACCCTCGCCCCGGACGCCGCCCTCGTGTCCGCTGGGCGGAGGCACGGCAAGTACGTGGTGGCCGTGAGGGTGAAGGCGCCCGCCCTGCGCTCCTCGCCCTCCACGCGCGCCCCCATCGACCTCGTCACCGTCCTCGACGTCAGCCAGGGCATGATGGGCGACAAGCTTCACATGCTCAAGAGAGGCATGCGCCTCGTCATCGCCTCTCTCGGCCCCGCCGACCGCCTCGCCATCGTCGCCTTCTCCGGCGCCGCCAAGCGCCTCCTCCCGCTGCGCCGGATGACGCGCCAGGGCCAGCGCTCCGCCCGCCAGATCGTCGATCGCCTTGTCGTCTGCGCCGCCGCCCAGGGCCAGGAACAGCCGCAGGCCGTCTGCGTTGGCGACGCGCTGCGCAAGGCCACCAAGGTGCTCGAGGACCGCCGCGACCGCAACCCCGTCGCCACCGTCATGCTCCTCTCCGACACGCAGCAGCAGCAGCAGCAGCAGCAGGATGCGATCCGGCGCCCGCCAGCCGCCCCTCCGGCCACGCGATTCACGCACGTCGAGATCCCCATCGGGCCAGGGGAGGAGCCGGCCCGGTCGGCGCTGGTGGCGGAGGAGGACGACGACCAGTTCTCGGAGCACGCCTTCGCGAAATGCCTGGGCGGCCTCGTCAGCGTGGTGATGCAGGAGGTGCAGCTGGAGCTGGCGTTCCCGACGGGCGAGATCACGGCGGTGTACTCGTGCGGCCACGGGCAGCAGGCGGTGGCCCTTGGGGGCGGTGGCGGCGGCGCGGCGGTGAGTGTCTCCCTGGGCGAGATGTACGCGGAGGAAGAGCGGGAGCTGCTGGTGGAGCTGCGCGCGCCGCTGAGCCAGAGCCACCCACACTCGCTGTCCGTGCGGTGCAGCTACCGTGAGCCGGCGTCGCAGGAGACGGTGCGCGGCGCGGAGCAGCAGCTGGTGGTGCCGGCCCTCCACGGCGGGAGCTCGTCGCGGCGGCTGCACGACCTGTTCGTGGCGACACGGGCGGTGGCCGAGTCGCGGCGGCTGGCGGAGCTGAACGACTACGCGACGGCCATCCACCTGCTGTCGTCGGCGCGGGCGGTGGTGGTGCAGTCGGCGGAGCAGGGGCTGGTTGGCAGCCTGGACACGGAGCTGAGCGACATGCGGTGGCGGCGCGGGCAGTCGGCAGGCAGGCGGCGTGGCGGCGAGTCGGAGGAGACTCCGGTGGGGACGCCGCGGGCGCGGGGGGGAGAGCCGCTGACGCCGACGTCGGCGTGGCGCGCGGCGGAGCAGCTGGCCAAGGTGGCCATCATGCGCAAGTCCATGAACCGTGTCAGCGATCTCCACGGTTTCGAGAACGCCAGATTCTGATTCTCATCATCTATCAATCTCAGCTCAGCTTGTAATCAATGATAATTTTCTTTTCTTTTTCATTTTCATTTTCATTTTCTTCTTATGTGAAATGAATCAACAAACACAAGATATGTCTCCACGACGAAGAAGAAAGAAGAAAGGCAGAATTAAGAAGAGGGAGGAGTCCCTGCCGGAGCGCGGCGGACGTAAATTACATCTACTCCCTCCATTACTGTTTTCTTTTTCTCTTCTCTTTTTGTACTCCTATTCAAAAATTTGAACTAGTTTAGACAGTCTCATCCTCTCTAACTGTCACTTTGCCACTCATTCTCGCTTCTCGTCTCCCAAGTATCAAATCGTTCGTTATCTAACAACAGTATCTTTTGCATACCAACTAATAAATTTTACCAAAATATGTAAAAAAAAGATCGTACATGCACTTCCAATTACACTTATGTGTAAAATATTAATCTAAAATTCACTATATTTTAGTCGTAACAAAAAAAATTAAAATCCCTAATAGTTTTAAGAATATAAATCTGTTAGAATTTTGACTCTTTTTCTCTATGTATAGAATGAATTTGAAGATAAAATATTACACATAAATGCGATACTACTAAAAGTACTTATATATTTTTTTTCTTCAATTTTTGATGAAGTTTGTTTGTTGGTGTGCATGTATGTACACATACATCGGATACATTCCCATCTAACAAACGAACTTATCTTTCATTATCTATAGAAACCAAAAATCAAATCTTTTATTATCTAAAACGCGAAAACCAAACCATTCGTTATCTAAAAACCAAAAAGAAAATATTTCTTTCTTTATTTCCATTTTTCAGTTACTACGTACTCCCTCCGACCGAAAGTTTTTTTTACATTAATATGGACACTAAATCCAAAAAGTTCTTTAAACATATATTCGCGTAAAAAAGTAGATTTATTTTAGTGCAGATGGGGGTAGTATTTAGAGTTTGGAATGGATTAAGATGATGCAAATTGCAAGATGATGGCATGCATGTGAGGTGGTTAAGGTTTTAAATCAATCAACAGACAAGAGGGACAGCTCCTTCACTGCTTGGTGCTCATCATTCAGTCCATGATCCTCCGCTGCTGTTGTGTTGTAGGCTAGTGAGTGCCTTGGTTTGATGGAATCTTTGTGCATGACATGGCCATGGGATTGGGAGGGAGAAACCAAAACAGTTAATCTGATCCTGACTGACCTGACCTGACCATACTACCTGAGATGAAGAGTGGGTGATTAAAACGACATTGGAGATTATGATGATTCATGCATCTTCTTCTTCTTCCTTTTCATAGCCAAGCTGATTGATGCAATGTTCTTCTTGATAAGGGCGGTTTTGGTGTGGACTGGACTAGTGCTAGAGCTTACATTGGAGGGAGAGAATATGGGAGCAGTAGACTGATTGCTTCCATGTCCATTCCTTCACCACAAACAAACAAGCAAATTAACAAACAGTGTGCTCATGCTCATGCTCATCATTCTTCACCTCTTGTTTGTGTTCTCTGTGCTTAGCATAGCAGATTAGCAGTCCAGCCAGCAGTAGTGTCGATTTGGGCGCAACACAACAACAATTCCGACGCTTTGTTTGGCCGCTTGCGCTTGCCTCCATCGCACTCTCTGCAATATCAGGCATGATGAGCTAGCCGCTGATTGCTGTAGAATGTGCCCACATCTGCAGCACTGTTGCAGGGATGGACGGCTCAGCTGGTACGTTGTCTACAGTGTATACCGTATCCTCTCCACTGTCTCTGCATACACACAACGATACTGCTCTACTGTGTACTACTAGTAACTGCTATCTCTCTCTTTCGTCTTTCAGCAACTGTCTGTATTCTTCTTCATTCATCAAAGGAGCTGAACGTGGCATATACTCGTATGATATATAGTACATACGTGAGATCAGATCTTATGGGACCGTTTTCAAAAAAAAAAAAAATCTTATGGGGCCAATGCAAGCAACATGCTTGCTCTCTAGCTAGAGTTCCCTTCTCTCTTTTTTTATGCCTTCTCCTCCTGTTTGCCTGATTATTCTGTGTGTGTGTGTGAGTGTGTTCGTTCGGCCCACTCAATCACTTGCTTACACATGATGCAATCATTTAGTATTCATTTCCACTAGGGTTTATCAATAAAATACTACCAAAATTAAGCTAGCATTTCTTGCCTCCTTCACTGTTTCTGAAACCTTCTAGGCTTCACTGTTACTGTCAGATAATAGTAGTATCATTGATCAAACTTATAAGTGTGTATAAATAAAATTATTGTGTATAAATGTAAAAGTCTGCCTTTTTCTCTCTTGGGTGCAGTACATAAAACATGCATGCTGATATGCAATTTACAAGAAGGTTTCTGTTTATGTTTTCTTGAGCCTCCCCTAGCTAGCTACTTGTACAAAAGGTTGTAAGCTGGTATGTCACGGATTCCATTGACGTCCTCCAGAGATAGCTCTCTCTCCAGCTGCTGCTTTGTTGCTTCCAGCACGTCCTGGAATTTGCCATTTTGATTAATTTGATCATCAGTTAACTAATTAGATTTTCACTACTCCAAATCCAAATCTACGGTTAGTTACTCCCTCCGTTTCGAAATATTCGACACCGTTGACTTTTTAGCACATGTTTGACCGTTTGTCTTATTGAAAAACTTTTGTGAGATATGTAAAATTATATGTCTATATAAAAATATATTTAACAATGAATCAAATGATAGGAAAAGAATTAATAATTACTTAAATTTTTTGAATAAGACGAACGGTCAAACATGTAATAAAAAGTTAACGGCGTCAAACATTTTGAAACTGAGGGAGTACTTTCTAGGATGAAGAAAAGAAGGAAACGTACTTTGAACTGCATGTAGGATGCTCGCATTGCCAGCCACTGGGCATCCATCATCTCGAAAGCTATACAGTACAGGACGTCAAATGCCTCTTCGTGTTCTACCATTACCATGCAGTGAATTAGTAGTATTTCATTGTAAATTATACTTCAGAAAGGCACTGCCCATGCATGCATGATTCATGGGAGAAGATGACAAGATACTAATAATAAGCGATCATTTGCTCACCTGACAGCACTTTGATAAAGTTAATCCCTGGCAAAGACTTGGGCCGTTCTGAGCAGAGCAGCAACCAAATTAATTAGCTACTAAAATCAATGAAGAAGTAAAAGGGCAAACAGAAAACAAAACAAAACAAAAATAAAGGGCACATCAATCATACCTCGTGGCATTATATACACTACATGCCATCTGAAGAAAGAAAAGAAAACAGTTGAACTAGCTACTAGTCCTAGCAAGCAATTATAGAAGCAGCCCGGCCAGCAGCGACAATTCAGTAACTGCATCTCTAACCAGTTGCACTCAAGGAGCACATGAGCAATAAGAGCCTTTCTTGTGTCAAAGCATATATAATAATTTTTCTTCCTGATAATTGTTAGTAGTTCGTTCTTGGAGTTGGCTCAATGATTAATTCTGGCTAGATGATTGTGTGTACAATATTTATACAGGTAATGATAAATCAAATAGCAGGGGCAGAGAGGGAACACACAATGAGACGTACTGTTGGGCATCTGAATCAGTTAGCAGTTAGCCATATATATATATACTATCTTCTTTTCGAATAAATTTTTGCATAACGTTTGACCATTCATCTTATTCAAAATTTAGTATAAATGTATAAAACTATATGTTAAGATTATATTTTATTTAATGATAAAACAAGCTAGTCACAACAAAACAAATGATATTATAAATTTTAAATAAGACGAATGATAAAATTTTATATAAAAAGTTAACGGTCTCATCTTTTTTTTAAAAAGGGGTATATAGTACTACTCATTATGCACCATCTGTCTGTCTATATGCATATGATATGGTCATTATCAAACCAAACCGCAAGATTCCTCTAATTGTGCAGACTGCATGCACAAGAGAATAAATAAACACAGAAGATGCCTTGTTGATGCCAGTACGTACCGGACCATTCTAATATGTGCTTAATTAGTACTACTACGTAGTTAGTTGTTTGACTTGTACGGCTGGGCACATGCAGTGTAGATGTACTCTTCTGACCAATACCGATGCAGTGCAATGTACATAGTCAATGATGCACAGGCCATGCTGATCAGCTGAGTAGTGATTCTTACGACAGATTATTAATTTAGTTATCAATCAGTTGCACATCTACAGATGCCATGCACATGCTGGCCCCTTCTTAATTAATTGATCTCTTCTGATTTCATGTTTTGTTTTTGTCATGCTTTCTTTTGTGTGCAAACGTAAATGCAAACACAAACACAAATTATGCATGTATATATATGCTGCTTCAATTCGATCTTGTGCATGATGTTTTTTTTTGGTCATAGATATAGATACAAATGTATATACCTACCTGCGTTGAGCTCCAGCAGCTGGATCAACATGTATGAGACGTTAACACCAGCAACTGCAAAGGGGTACTCCCATGTGGCTCTCATCCCTTGTTTCTTCAGAAGCAGCCTCTGGTAAGAAGCCTATCATGCATGAGTGCAGTAATGTCTGTCAGGCTCAGCTAAATTGTTGTTACTGACAGACATTGAAACAGCATCAACATACCGTACCGGATATGTTGTTGCAAAGAAGAGAAGATTCTCAAGTCCCACAAATCCACAGCCCCTGAAGATCAAGAGTACCGGATATGTTAATTACGTTGTTTATTTCTAGACAAACCAATTAGCTACAGTCACCAGTTAGTATAATGTAGAGTTAGAGATTAAAAAATATTTATGTACCTGAAATCAGTCGATGGGTTTGGGCCCTGCCATCCCATGTCCTTCCACTGCTCTGAAATTAAGCTTGACAGCTCTGCATCCGGAAATGAAGCACTCCACAGAGCCCTGAGAGCTTCCTACAACAAATTACTATCTACATTACTGGTACATTTCTATTTAACCTTGCTGATATTTATATATATTTGCTGGAATTTCCCACCTGATGATCTCTCCGAGTTTGATCATAAGGTATATTTAGTCTTTCCTTCAGCTTTTGCAAACGTTGCTCCTGATGAGTGATGAGTGGCATTGAACAAGGTTAATTAATTAGTTCAGACTTGAGATGTGAGAAATGCTATGTCTTGATGAATGCTGTTATAAAAGAAGAGACCATCCAAATCCAGTCTCGCTTGCAAAGTTGGCTGGGCAGAGTTATCACTATTTACTGCATTTGATGGTTTAGTTGAATACTACTAAGAACGAGCCATCAGAAATGCAATGTGACTATTTCCATTATCGAAAAAAGAAAGATAACGTGGCTTGGTGTATGCTAATCCTAATACAACTTCACCTGAACAGGGCTCAGCTCAAAGGTCTTCTCAGCATTGATTTGGCGCCTTCTACCTGAGCTGGTGAAAAGGCCCCCAAACCATATCCTATTCCCAACCATAGCATCAACTGCAATCAGGATATTTGCAAAACAAGAGTCAAGCATAGAGCATGTCTTTGAACAATATGAAATTATATATGTCCAGACGATGACATGAAAATTATCCTACATATAATTTGAGAAATCATTCCCAAAGCTAGAAGAAAGTTTTGTGCAAAACAAGCAGAGCATTAAGGGATATACGAAAATTTGTTTTTTTAGTAGAGTAATATTGAAGTAGTGTAAAATTCTGATAACCTCAGTGGTATGCGCTTTCGATAATGAATTACTGTGTTTCGTAAACATGTTAGAATATAAATTTATATAAAATTATGAGCTTTGAATTTGAAATTCAAAGCCATGCATGTGTTTCAGCACAAAAAAAAGGCTAGGCAACTGTTTGTGGTAATATTGAATTTTTGTCTAGTTTTATGTGATAATGTTGACGCCAAAACAAGATAATGGCAAAGAAAAGATGGAATGATGATAGTTGAATTGGATGAACGCATACAAATATACCTGTAGGGGTTGGAGCTGAAAGGGATGAATGCCCATCAAAGAAGACGAATCAAAAGCCGTCTAGCACGGCAAAATAAGCATACATACATGCATGCCTGTTGTTATTTCGTCTTGTTTTGACATGCATACACGTAAGTAGGCTAACTGCAGCAAGCAAATCAATCAATAGGCTTATGTATGTAATATTTGAATTTGATTGATGTTCTTAGCTAGCTGCAACAATTAAGATACATACATACATACAAGAGAGGAGATGGAGATGGAGGGGGGAGAGAGAGAGGGACCGGAGGAGAAGGAAGAGAGGAAGATAGAGAGGATGGAGAATTGGAAACGGTTTCCAATCCAACAGCCTCAGCCTCTTCAATTCTTCCCTTCTTCCTGCCCCTCCCCTTGCCTGCCTGCCTGCCTGCTTGCCTCTACAACACCAATAACGCTGTGTTTCTTCACAAAAACGACAGCTGTGTGCATGCACGCTCCATATATTTCCTCTCTCCGATCATCCCTCCCCACCATTCGTACGTTTTATTCATTCATTCTTCCCAGACCAGAGCGGGGCAATTGCAAATTAAGGACCTATCTATGTATATGGGTGGGACTCACATTGGGCCGGCCTTGTAGCAATCATTCATGCAGGCCCAAATCAACAAGGAAAAAGTACACCGAAGGTCCCTCAACTTGTCATCGAGTTACAAAATCGTCCCCCAACCGCAAAACCAAATACCGAACGTCTCTCAACTAATCATAACCGGGCACAATAGATCCTTCGGTGGTTTTGACCCCTATTTTATCCTACGTGACGGCGGAGTTAGCGTGGGACCCGCATGGGCCCCACATGTCAGGCTGAGTCATCTCTTCCTCTCTTCTCTTCCTCGGTTTCTTCTCTCTCTCTCTCTGCATGTAGGCGGTAGGCCGGTCGGCGGGGCGAGGCAGGAGAGGAGGAGGGCGGCGCGGCAGCCGCGAGGTAGAGAAGCGAGGCGGCGGCGAAGAAGACGTGTAAGCCGCGGCGACGGTGGTGGCAGAGCAGGACGCGATAGCAACACTCGACCTGGTTTTGCTCTCGGGCCTCGCGAAGGCGAAGAAGCCTCCTCGACCTTGACGCTCGTCGTTGTCACGCCCAGAAATTTAACCCAAATTTCCAGACTATTTTGTGTATTAAATCCCTGTCCAGGACCAGCCAGGGTACACACAAAACGACAAGTAATATACAGTTCCAAACGTAAATAAAGCGTAACATACTTACAGAAGAGGCACTTAGTCCTCACAAAGAAAGAGAACGACAGCAGCGGAAAAAGGCCATCCTAGCAGTGCTTTAGCTTCACTCCACAGGCAAAACTCAACTGGGGTCTAAGCCTTGGTCTTCTAACTTCGTCTTCAGCTCAGAAGCACTACACTTCTGAAAAGAGGGAATAATAGCAAGGCTGAGTATAACCACCGTACTCAGCAAGCCACACCAATGATGCAAACGTGCAAGGGGAATACAAGGACGGCTTGTGGCTATTTGCATAAAGGCGGTTGTAAAACATTTTATTGAGCAAAAAAGTAAAAATGCTGAGTAATTAAAGTAACATTAAATCTCCACTGATCAACGCTACACCATGTTGAACAGGCCCAACCAACCCACCTGAACTACAGTGCATTGAGTCGATTTATTAAGGTGGGACTGATCACGGTGAATCTGGTCGACCGCCCATAACCGCGGGCACGGCTATTCGAATAGTTTTACTCTGATCAGAGGTGTACAACTGTAACCACAAGACAAAGCCCCACAACACGTTTCCATGCGCCGACATGCCACCACGACATACCGGAAAGAGGCCGTGACATGACCCTTCGCATAACCCCCTCTAGCCAAGCACACCACACCTCAGGTTTCACCCCCGTCCCCAGCGGGCAACGGGCAGTCCCCTCTCATGCCTAGGTGAATCCGGAAGCGACAGAGGCCGTCGCAGGGCCCGCCCTGCTCCATCACGCCCACCCTTGCTTGGGAGCGTCGGCTAGAGAAAAGCTACACTACAAACCCAGCCGTTGCCCACGCTGGCTTGTGATAAGTACAAGGAATTCTTCCAGGGTTTCCCGCGAACCGGTCCTTAATTGTCATGGGTGCGACTAGCAAAACCATGCACCCACAGCTCACCATTCAGTCGCATTTTAGTTGGATAATTACGACCATGAAGCATGGCAAGATGTCTCGAGCACGCAGCTTGTCATGTCACTAAGAGGTCTAATACTGCAATTATCCCATCAACTGAGCTAGTGGTAATTAAGCATGGCTAAGCATATAGTTCTAGCTAGGTCACATAAGTAACATGAGCTAGTCGATTTATTACCCAAGGTTGACAAAGGACAGATATCAAGTAAACATGGCACAAGCGAGCAGCTAGGTAAACCCGATTCCCATGTAATTGGCAAAACATGCATATTTATTTGCAAACAGTAAAACATTTGTAAAGTAGGCTCAACATGCTCAAGGGGAATGTGTGACTTGCCTTGCTTCTTCACTTTGATCTTCTGAACTCTTTTCTTCGCGACAGCGGACTTCCGAAACGACGGATTCTACACGCTGGCACACAAAACGAGGAAAAACTCTAATAAACACCAAGCAAACAGTACATAAAAAGTAAACAAACATGTAGATCTTAATTTTAGATGAATTTTGCAAGTTGAACGGCCCAATTTGGAGTTCAAATGAATTAGTTATGAATTTTAGAAAGTTTTGAGCCATTAAATGAACTTCTATAATTATTAATGATTTATTACGCAATTGATAATTACTTTCCAAAGGAAAAGGCACAGCCGCTGACGTCATCAAGTGAGGCCGGCGCCGACAGGCGGGCCCCACACGTCAGCGAGACAAGGAGGTCGGTCCACCGTGGACCGGGACCACAAGGGCGGTCCACCGCCGGTCCACACGGACCGACGGCCCAGATCAGCCCGAGCTGATCGGGCGGCCACGGGATGGCGCGGCTGGGCACGGGCACGGCTCAGGCCGGCCCGGCCGAGCGACGGCGCGCGGCGGCGCGGTCACCGGCGGCGACAATCGGCGATGGCGCACGCGGGCGATGGCAGCACATGCAAAGAGAGCGGAGGCGCGGCGCGACGCGGCAGGGGAGCGGCGGCGCACGCGGGCGGCGGCGGCGCGCACGGCCGGCGAAGAGGAGGGGGAGGAATGAGGGCTTCTCACCCGGGTGGCGGCCGGAGCGGAGGAAGGCGACGACGACAGCGATGGTCCGGCGACGTTCCGCGAGCGGGAAACGGCGGCCGATGGTCGGAGGGACCGAGGGAAGGAAATGGAGAGGTTAATAGAGGGTAGGAAGTTGCGGTGCGCGGGAAACGCCGGACAAAATGACGACGGAGCTCACCGGGAGGCACGGGAAGATGAGTCCGGCGACGACTGGCGAACACGGAGGGATTGCCGAGCCACGGACGACGGCTGCGGTACCGGGGAGGGCGACGGCACAGCACGGGGCGGACTGAAGAGGCGGCGCGGCGCGTCCGGAGGCGGAAATGGCGACGGTAGCTCTGGTTGGTAGTGGGGAGGGCGGCTCGGTGGTGGATTGGAGGAACGAGGAGGTGGCCGGTGCTCGGCTTGGAGAGGTGAAGCCGACAGTGGCGGTGGCGCGGCTTGGCGGTGGCTAGCGTGGCGAGGAGCGGCGGCCGGAGTTCGGCGGCAAGCGGCGGAGAGAGGTTACACGGTGGGGAGGTGGTTCCGATGGCGGTTGAAGGAAACCGGGTGGAGGCCGGCGTGCGACGCGGGACGGCGAAGCTGATGGCACACGCGGTGAGGCGCGGCGACGGCGGTAGCAGCGGCGGCGCGCGGCTGGAGATCGCCGGCGGGAGAGGGCGCGGGGAGCTCGGGAATTTGGGGAAAATGGGAGAGGGGGCCCCGGGGATGCTTTTTATAGGTCCCGGAGGTGGAGATCGTGGTCGTGGCGGGCGGCAACGGCCGGCGGAGGGAGCTCCGGCGACGTGGGCGAGTGGGGCTTGAACGGCGCCGATTTTTGGGGGAAAATGGGGGAGAAAGTGGAGGAAGGGGAGGACGTGGGGTGGACCACGTCCACACGCGCATGGGAGCGTGGAGGCGCGCGGAGGAGGCGGCGTCGTGGGGTGGTTTCGGCGGCCATGGAGGCCGGCCGAAGGTTGGGGACGGTCCTGACATGTGGGGCCTCGGGTCCCACATGTCGGCCGGAGAGAGAGAGGGAGCCGAGGGAGGGTGTTATGTGGACTTAAGGAGAGGAGAGCCGGGCTGGGCCGGAGGGGAAAGAAGGAGGGAGGGGGATTGGGCCGAGGGCGGCCCAAAAGGAAGGAGAGGGAATTTTATTTGTTTTCCTTTTTATTTAATTGGTTAGATGAACTTTGTGACATTAAAATTATTTATTGAGCTCCGAAAATTTACGGGAAATTTCAGAGAGTACTTTAGGGCACAGAGAATATTGCAAAATATTTCCAGCCAATGATTTTTAAGGGAAAATTGTAATTCTCCTATAATTTCACTTGATTGGATTGATTTAACTTTTATTTAATTTTTAGAAAATGCATTATTAATTGATTTTTAATCCCAAACGAAAATCGGGGCGTTACAGTCGTGAAGACGACGTGCTTCAGGTGCGCCCTGTTGTTGGATGCGTCCACCGGAGTGATGATCGTCGTCTCGATCGTGCCACCGCCACGTCACACGCAGGAGCTCGCCGCACGGTGTGACTGCGAGGTACTGTGTGGGTTTGGGATCAGAGGAGTGACTGCAAGGACCAAGGCTCAGACCCCAGTTGAGTTTTGCTTGTGGAGTGGAGCTGAAGTCCCGCTAGGTATCGCCTTTTCGCTGCTGTCGTTCTCTTTCGGTGTGAGGACTAAGTGCCTCTTCTGAAGTATTTTACGCTTTATTTATGTTTGGAACTGTATATTACTTGTCGTTTTGTGTACCCTGACTGGTCTTGGACAGGGATCTAATACACAAAATAGTCTAGAAATTTGAGGCTAAATTTCTGGGCGTGACATCGACCCACCTCACTGCCGCGACATCAACGACCAAAGTGCGGGTTCGGCTGTGGGGGCAGCGACGAGGGTCAGGAGTGGCTATTTGGGGGCGAGAGGTGGCGGGGTTCGGGGGTGGCAGTGGTGGCAGTTGGGGGCGACCGCGGTGGCTGCGAGTGCCGGTGCAGCGCAGGTGGTGGTGGAGTCGGGGGTGGCAGTTGGGGGCAGCCACGGTGGCTACGAGCGCCGGTGCAGCACAGGTGGTGGTGGGGAGCAGCGGCGCAGCTGCCGAGACAGGTGCGGTGGAGGAATGAGGAGAGGCGGCACGACAGCCGGCAGAGCGGTGGTGGGCAGCACCAGCATCGCCGCTTCACCCCTTCTCCTCTTGCCTTCGTCATCTATCTCGCCAATTCTAGTCTCCTCTCTCGCATGTGCGATTCAACATGTTGACCCAGGGGTAGAAACGTCCGAGAAAAAGTGTAATTAAGGAAAAGTTATTTCTAGATGCAAGAAACCAAGAAAATAGCATTCCAACGAACACCCACGGCTTGGGAGCGGTATTCATGCGAAGCCCATTTTAGTGAAGGTATTCTAACGAAACTACTTTTTTGCGATGGTAGATATGCAATTTTCTCAGAGAGAAAATTGATTTTATTTGGAGCTAGTGCTTTGTGTTGGTTAACCTGGCGTTGCCATAATGATGTAGTTTTTAACCTAAAAAAATACCCAACATCATACAGATTATCTTCATGTGTTCCAACTAGCTCCATTCTTAGTGTATGATGTTTTCACAGGAACAACAGGATACTATACGCAACGGAGCTACACGCTTGGAATTGGTAGCCAAGAAATTTTTATTCCAGTTTGGATATCGTAGACATAATTTTTTTTATAGAATCTATGTGATTTTGAAAATATTATTTTAGTAGATCATCTTATTGGTAGAAGTTTGGTGTTTGTCCCATCACGTCTTTTTTTAATTTCTTTTATGTTTACTTATGAGACTTTTTGGTTATGTGCCCATGGACAAAGGTCGGAGATGTAATCCATTTCTATTATCTAATAAAATTAAAAAAGTGGTTGTCCAAGGTTTACAATAAATCCACTCTAACAAAATTAAATTGAAGGTTTAAAGAATTTTTAATGCAATTATTTTCTTTTAAAAAATAATAGTGCGTATCACAACAAAAGGAAAACCAACTATTATCATTGGAACAAATTAATTTAGGTTTATGTCATGCCCACGCCATCGTGACACTTTACTGCATGCTTCATCTTATTCGGAAAAAAAAGCTGCATGCTTGCAAACATGCATCGATCTCCACCAAACACCGGAAAGGATAGTCGATCCCGACCTTGATATATGCAAAGCTGATGGGGAACGTACGAAAGAGCTATAGTACCTAGCTATCTTCTTGCTTGAAATGTCGCATCATGATGCAGCAGCACTTTGGTGCACCAACTCCCCTCCTTCAGATTCACACGCGCGTACGCTAGCTAGCTCTTATTGGAGGAGTTTCAAATTTGTTGGAATAAATGAGCTGGCCACAATTTACTCTCAATTAATTTCATAGGTCCACAATTAATACTATAGAGATTAATATCACCATAAAAATTTAAGTGGAGATATATCAACTTAAATAGAGAGCTATATTAGAGAGTCCCTGTTAACCGATTAAGGTGGTGATGGGACAGCCACACATGCGCATTGTTGGGCCAGGCCAGATGGGCCGTTACTACGTGAACATTGATGCTTATTTTATAAAAAGCATGCTCATGTTGCTCATGTTTAGCATCATCACTAGATCAATTCTCATTGCAAATGTCATGTTTATTATATTCTGGATTAAAATATACCGAATTATGATCATATTTTTTTTAAAAATTACATTAATTATTTCTTATAGAGATTGTTTAGAGGAACTTCCATATGGAATTTCCCAGTGGCATGCATGGCTAATATATAGTGTGTATGATCCAACATACTACTATATATAGCTGTAAGTGACGCAATAATCTGATGAAATATTGTAATGTATTAATGATATGCATGATTAGTGCAAAATTTGAAATTGAGTGATCTTTTGTCACTAAAATTAGATGCACATGCAATCTACTCCCTCCGTTTTACAATGTAAGACTTTCTAGCATTGCTCATATTCATATAGATGTTTGTGTACAATGCTAGAAAGTTTTACATTATGAAACGGAGGAAATATAATTTAACAAATGTTTTTCCACTGCATGTATTATGTTCACAAATTAGAGCCGTGGCATATATATAGTTCACGGTGCATGAGGATTACAACGTGTCACATACGGCTATATATACGTAATAAATCAAGGTAGTAAGGCCTTGTTTACTTCCTAAAAACTTTTCCTAAAAACATTATATCGAATCTTTGGACATATATATGGAGCATTAAATATAAATAAAAAGAAAAAACTAATTGCAAACTAGCATGTAAATCGCGAGACGAGTGTTTTGAGTCTAATTAGTCCATGATTGGCTAAAAGTGCTACAGTAACCCGCATGTGCTAATGATGGCTTAATTAGGCTCGGAAGATTCATCTCGCGGTTTCCAGGCGAGTTATGAAATTATTTTTTTTATTCGTCTCTGAAAACCCCTTCCAACATTTAATCAAATGCTCGATGTAACATTTAAAAATTTTCATTTCACCAACTAAACAAGCACTAACTTGTTAAGTTTTCTTCCCAAAAAGTTTCTTATTCGCTTGCATGTACTCGCTTGGTTCTAACCCTAGAAGGCTGGAATTTGTTGGTGTTGCCTTGGCTCGCGCACCAAACGTCGTACGTGGTGTCACCCACGCGTCATTTTTCCGTGCCCGCGCGCACACGGAAATATCAATATTTTATATATATATATATATATAGGGGGTCATCAGTTGAATAAAAATGGTGCACCATTTTTAAGTGTATCGGAGTTGGTCAACACAAACGTAGACGTAGATGAGCACAGCAAAAATGTTGACCACTAGTATGGGTGGGCGTGGTTAGAGTGAAATAATTTTGATTTGAAGTTGATTTAATGTGACCAGCAGTACCAAATCTCTTACACTATAGGACAAATTTAGAAGGGATTAAGGGTCTGTTTGGATTCCACCTTAAAATTTTACATCCTATCACATCGAACGTTTGAACACCTGCATTAATTATTAAATATAGGCTAAAAAATAACTAATTGCACAGATTACGACCACTTTGCGAGAAGAATCTTTTAAGCCTTGCTCCATGGTTTGACAATGTGGTGCTACAGTAAATGTGCTAATGACGGATTAATTAGACTTAATAAATTCATCTCACGGTTTACTGACAGATACTGTAATTAGGTTTTTTATTAGTGCCTGAACACCCCCTACGACACTCTATATAATACTTGATGTGACACGTCAAAACTTTACACCCTGAATCTAACACCCCCTGAAAATAAGAGATATATATGATGGGATTTGATCTCGCTGATCTAGAAGGAGCTACTACTACCATCAGATATATTCTCTTCCGCATGGAAAAAGTGCTAATACATGGAAACACCTGGCAAAATATCAAGTAAAGTAACTGATTTTGTAAGCAAGCTATCACATGGAAAGAAAATCAGTAGCATAACTTACGTTCAATTTCTTGGGTATTAAATGGAAACCAATCTACACGAATATCTTAACGAGTTTGACCCGTAATTTTCACCAAATACCCATTTGAGTGCAGCACGAATCCTAAAGCCAGTGAACGGTGGATAGTATTGGAGCCCGGACACCATAGAGCATCAAATATATATATATATATATATGTGTGTGCGCGCGCGCGCGCGCTACCAGCCGCAGCAGATGCACTGATCAAGCATTAATTCTAGCGAGTCATCCACGCAATCACAGTGTATGTATACATAAATTTTGATAATTTGATTCTTTGCAAAAACTAATTTCACAAATGAATCGTGGTTAAAACTTATTTTAAAAATGACTCTTTTGTTCAGCGCCGAACTTAGACACTTCAGCGTTAAATAGCACGGCGCTAAATGCACGTTGGCACGCCGACTCAACCTCCCATCCGTGGTGGCACGACATTCAGTGCCAGTTGACGTGGCGCTGAGGTGTCATAGTTCAGCGCCATACGATTTGTCGCTGAAAGAAAGGGTTATTTCTGAAATAAGTTTTGGCCGCGGTTTATTTGTAAAATTAGTTTTTGCAAAGTGTCAAATTGTTAAAGTTTGTATGCACAGATCAATGTGATATCATTAGGATTGCCTTTTCGATGTCGCAAAAAATTCAAAATTAATTTAAATATGATTAAATTCTATGTGTTGGAAATACTAATATTTATATTATTGTGATATTAAACTAGACATAAAATATGGATTATAAAATGAAATAGAGGAGAAAAAGAAATAGGGGCTAAGAAATAAAGGTTGTTGCTTGAGTTAGAACCTTTCTAGAGTCCCGAGGAAATAGGGGTAGCCCCCATTTAACCTTTAGGGATTCTTAGGCCCTGTTTGAATCTTCAATAAAAGTTGGATAAACTTTTGGATAAAAGTGACACGCTTTTCAAACTGCTAAACGGAGCGTTTCGTACGAAAACTTTCCATATGAAAGTTGTTCTAAATTTTTTAAAAATCTATTTTTCAAGTTTGTAATAATTTCAACTCAATTAATCACACGTTATTACCACCTCGTTTTGCGTAAAACACTTAATCTTTATCTTCAGGAGATTCAAACACCACCTAAAATAGGAGATATTGCTGAAGATGCTTAGTGAATCTAAAATAGGAGCTATTGCTGGAGATGCTCTTACTCTTTACTTCTTGAGTTAAAAGAAATGTGTTCATATCAATCAACTTCCAATTTAGTATCATCTCAAAATAGCTACCTAGTTGATTTCTTTTAAAAAATACACCATCTAGCAGTTTAAGAAATGTGCACGTGAAAAATGAGGGACATTTCTCCCCTTTGCCTTGTCTCAAACGTCCACAGCCTTATGTTGTTTATATTTTATACGGAACACATATGCTATATTTTGGGACGAACTACGGCTACCTTTCTTTTAGTTTCATATTTTCATATGGGATTCATCTACTATATGCTACCTCCGTCTTAAAATATAAAATATTTTAGAGTTGAATACGGAAATTAAAAAGTAGGTAGAATTAAATGGAAAAAGATTGTGATTAGTTGTGAAGGAAAATTAGTACTATGTGACAAATTTGAAAGGTGAAAGGTTGTGATTGGTTGCGCAATGAATGTACGTAGAGAAGTTGTTATAGAATTTAGTAAAAAAAACTGTTATTGTTCTTGAACGCTAATATCAATATTCTAATTTAATGCTCACCCTCACAGTGAAGATGATATTGTATGAAGGGAACTATACGTAAAGAATGATGTTTAATTTAAAGGAAGCAAATAGTTTAGATTTATAAATGTAAACTTTTAAAAAGTATAAAAGTATACATATGTAGATAGATGGCAATTGAAAAGTGACCTCACTATAACATGGTGCTTCACCAACTACTCCCCATGTGTACTGTCTACTCTCTCGTCCAATTCCCGATGATATGTACTAGCTCTCAGCTCCCGGCCACTTTCATTTTTTTATTACAAATAGTATGTACCTTTTTTGCGGGGACATATATAATTGTACTTGTATAGATCGATATCATTTCACACACCGGCTAATGAATGCGAACCTAACACATACCAGGAGACGGCCAGACTAGCTAGCAAGCAAGTCATTAACTAAATTCTTATTGAAAAGGTAAATTCTTATAGAAAAACACTTGCAAAAGCCTCATATATATTGGTGCGCCAAAAACCATTACACCCTTGGTGCTTACCCCTAAACCCTAAACGTATCCTCTCTTTTGTTATCATCACACTGGTGGAGAAATCTTTTTACTCCTGATTTATAACCCCCTGTAGTCCTGGTTTTCCAACTGGGACTACAAATTCAGGGCAGCGGCAGTCCCGGTTAGTTTACTTTTTTTTCTTTCATTGTTTTTATTGCTACTTACTACTTAATCCCTAACTGATTTTCTCCCGAATCGAGTGGGGTGTATATCCCCGAATCAAACCCCAAATCAAAGTAATATCCCAAATACCATAAATCAAATACATCACAGATTATACATCTCAGATCCATACAATAAATCACAGATTCTAAAAAAAAAGAAATTATAGATCTCAATCCATACAATGAATCACAAATTCTTCAACAAAAAAGCACCTGCCGCTGCCATCCCCTCCACGCCGACCGCCGCCGCACTCCCATCCGCCTGCCGCTGCCATCCCCTCCACGCCGACCGCCGCCGCGTGGCCCTCCGCACCACCGCACTAGCCGTCGCCGCGGCGGCCGCCGCCGCGCGGCCCTCCGCGCCGCCGCCAGCCGGGCTGCCCTCCTCCTGCGCTCGCTCAGCCGCGAACTGTGAAGGAAGGAAAGAGATAAGGCTGTAAACTGTGAAGGAAGGAAAGAGATAAGTTAGAGAGGAAAATTAAGAGAGAGGAGTTTGTGTGGACGGGAGAAGAGGATAAGTACTAGGGATTATATAGTGCGTTTTGATCTTTAGTCCCGGTTAGTAACACCAAATGGGATTAAAGTCCTAACTTTAGTCCCGGTTAAGCCCCGGTTGGTATTACTAAACGGGACTAAAGATCACCGGGATCTTTAGTCCTGGTTGATAACCGGGACTAACGATCCGAACTTTAGTTCCGGTTGGAGTTACCAACAGGGACTAAAGATTCCGGAGGGCCTTGACAGCCCCTAACAGCATGTGAACTAGTCCCAGGACTAAAGATCATATAGTCCCGTTCTGTTTATAAACCGGGACTAAAAATCATCTTTAATCTTGATTTTTATTACAATCAGGACTATTGTGATTTTTTACCGATCGGACAAAGATGGTTTCTACAGTAGTGTCCGCCGATCAAAGTATATATATGTAAAACTCTGTGATTTCCTTCCAACGAAGAAAAAAAGGAAAATCATTTTTATAATAAAATTTCTCCCATTAGAGATGAACGGCTACGTGTCATTGCAGTAGAGATGACAAGGAAAATGGTTTGAAACCTACTCCCTCCGTTAAAAAAATACCAACGAGATGTGATCCAATATAGGCAGCCCTTTATCCAAATTCATAGTACGAGGAGAAGATTGTCCTTTTCTTTTGAGACGAAGGGAGTAGCTAATTCCTGTTCATTATTAATTATATGTTGGAACGGGAAGATATAATATGTAGGTGCAATATATTACTTCTGGAGATTATTAAATTAGGTGCAAATATGAGGTCCAAACGTTCAACACGGGGTCCATGTTTGTTTAATGGAATTAAGTATAGATGCAAGTACAACCGGTGAACTGGACACAAACTTAAGGCTGCATTCGGGAGGTGAGTTCCCAAAACGGAGCGATCCATGATTAATTAAATATTTACTATTTTTTAAAAATAGATTAACATGATTTTTAAAGCAACTTTCATATAATTTTTTTTAAAAAAGTACCGTTTAGCAGATTGAAAAGCGTGTGCATGGAACACGAGAAAGAAGAGTTAGGGGAAAGAAAGTTGGGCTGTATTTAGTTCATGTGCCAAATTTTTTAAAGTATACGGACACACATTTGAAGTATTAAACGTAGATTAATAACAAAACAAATTATAGATTCCGCCTGTAAACTGCGAGATGAATTTATTAAGCCTAATTAATCCGTCATTAGTAAATGTTTACTGTAGCATCACATTGTCAAATCATGGCGTAATTAGGCTCAAAAGATTCATCTCGCGATTTACATACAAACTGTGCAATTGGTTTTTTTCGTTCATATTTAATGCTCTATATGTGTCCAAATATCTGATGTGACGGAAAAATTGAATGTTTGAAGAAAAAATTTTGAAACTAAACACGGCCTTGATCAATAGTTTTCGCTCAATGGTTTGACTGGGGCAGGCTATACATTTTCCTTCTTCTAGACCGTCCGTAAAAGTGGATGTGCGTGAAAATGGTATTTTACTATTTTTTTTATTGTAGAATTTAGAATCTACTGCGTAAGATCTCAATTTGATAATTAAACTATACAGATAGCAGGCTTACCAGTAAAAATATCACACATAGATAGATATGACTATTTTCATAAGCGGTGCTTTTTAAGTGCATGAATTGTGTAAATAGTGAGCCCTACGCACGACCGACGATGCTCGACCACCGCCCGAAGCAAAGTCAAAGATATATCCTCTTTGCATCCTCTTCATCTCCTTCCTTCGGAGCTCTCCCCTCTCAGAGTCCTCGCAACACCGCTGCCTCCTATTTCCCCTCTCAATCGCAGCCTCCATGAAACCAAGAGTGTCGCTGCCTCCATCACAATCGTACATCCTATCTGCGCCACCCTCTCCCTCACCAGTCAGAGCTAGGATGCACCAATGATAGGTGGAGTGACTAGCGTGACCCAAGATCCGGTGCGAGGAGGCTGTCGGCAACCACGCGAGAGTGGTAGAGAGGGCCGCCGCACACCTCTCCTCCTCGAGATGCGCCACATATGGATGGCGACCAGCTGGGGAGTAGTGAGGAGGCCGGATCGGGACAGCGGGGTGACAACAATGACTACAACGACGGTGGCTTCACTGATGAATTTTTGTGAATCTGAGTTTTGTGGAAATTATTTTGCTGGGGAGCTAGGGTTTGTGGAGAACTTTTTTTTGCAAAAATATTTTCCAATCTGGTGCCTTTCGATTTTCACAGGAGGTCTACTAATTGAACCGTGTATGATAATCGATTTTCACATATATAATTGTGTGGGGCTACCTATGAAAGTCCCAAATTTTACAGAAATTTGGTTACAGACAGATGCTCCACCTAGTAATTTGGGCCGTCTGAAAAAACATTCTTGGTAATATAGTGATTAATTCATTCCAAAAGACAGTAGCGACATCTATTTAAATATGGAGGGAATAATTATTATACTTAAATAAAAATAGAAGTTGTATAGGTGTACTATTATCTACGAAAGCTTTCGCTATAACAAATTTGAATGTGTCATTTTCATATGCCCAAAATTTAAATAATTATTTTCTTAAAATATAAGTATTTTTAGCTTGAATGTACTTGTCCATATTTCGAAATTAGAAGTTGTTGTATATTATAATGGTCAAAATGAATTAAGTTAACTGCACGAATTCTAAGGTAAAACTTATTTGTAACTAGAGAGAGCAGGTAAATATGCTTAAAAAATTTACGTGAAGATAAAACACGATCCATGCCTCTTCATTAGCTAATTCCCCTGTTTCAAAATATAGCAATAATCTTAGAATCGGACGAGACATTATGAGTACGGAGATCCAATGGTAGGTTATCATCCTGGGACGGAGGGAACGGAGGGAGTATATATATATGTCTATAATAGTGCGTGCGGTGAAACAGATCAGTAAGGTAGGATGGCATCGTTGATGGAAGTGCAGGTGCCGCTGTTGGGAATGGGCACTACGATGGGCGCCCTGGCTCTGGCTCTCGTCGTCGTTGTGGTTGTGCACGTTGCCGTGAACGCCTTTGGGCGGCGGCGGCTTCCCCCGAGTCCGGCGAGCCTACCGGTGATCGGGCACCTTCACCTGCTCCGGCCGCCGGTGCACCGCACCTTCCACGAGCTGGCGGCGAGGCTGGGCCCCCTGATGCACGTCCGGCTGGGGTCGACGCACTGCGTTGTGGCGAGCTCGGCGGAGGTGGCGGCGGAGCTGATCCGCAGCCACGAGGCGAAGATATCGGAGCGGCCGCTGACGGCGGTGGCCCGGCAGTTCGCGTACGAGTCGGCGGGGTTCGCGTTCGCGCCCTACAGCCCGCACTGGCGCTTCATGAAGCGGCTGTGCATGTCGGAGCTGCTGGGCCCGCGCACGGTGGAGCAGCTGCGCCCCGTGCGCCGAGCCGGGCTGGTGTCGCTGCTGCGCCACGTGTTGTCGCAGCCGGAGGCGGAGGCGGTGGACCTGACCCGCGAGCTCATCCGCATGTCCAACACCTCCATCATCCGCATGGCCGCCAGCACGGTCCCCAGCAGCGTGACGGAGGAGGCGCAGGAGCTGGTGAAGGTGGTGGCGGAGCTGGTGGGCGCCTTCAACGCCGACGACTACATCGCCCTGTGCCGTGGCTGGGACCTGCAGGGCCTCGGGCGCCGTGCGGCCGACGTGCACAAGAGGTTCGACGCGCTGCTGGAGGAGATGATCAGGCACAAGGAGGAGGCTAGGATGCGGAAGAAGACAGACACAGACGTCGGCAGCAAGGACCTGCTTGACATCCTGCTGGACAAGGCGGAGGACGGCGCGGCGGAGGTGAAGCTCACCAGAGACAACATCAAGGCCTTCATCATCGTAAGCCAGCACGCACTTTTTTCTTTCTTTCTTTCTTAATTAGCTAGTGGAGTGGAGTACTAAGATGATGCATGGATATGATGCACTCGATCGATCAGGACGTTGTTACTGCCGGGTCCGACACTTCGGCCGCCATGGTGGAGTGGATGGTGGCGGAGCTGATGAACCACCCGGAGGCCCTGCGCAAGGTGCGGGAGGAGATCGAGGCGGTGGTGGGGCGGGACAGGATCGCCGGCGAGGGGGACCTGCCGAGACTGCCGTATCTGCAGGCGGCGTACAAGGAGACGCTGCGGTTGAGGCCGGCGGCGCCGATCGCGCACAGGCAGTCGACGGAGGAGATCCAGATCCGAGGGTTCAGGGTGCCGGCGCAGACGGCGGTGTTCATCAACGTGTGGGCCATCGGGCGAGACCCGGCGTACTGGGAGGAGCCGCTGGAGTTCAGGCCGGAGCGGTTCCTCGCCGGCGGCGGCGGCGAGGGCGTGGAGCCGCGCGGGCAGCACTTCCAGTTCATGCCGTTCGGGAGCGGCCGGCGCGGGTGCCCCGGGATGGGGCTTGCGCTGCAGTCGGTGCCGGCGGTGGTGGCGGCGCTGCTGCAGTGCTTCGATTGGCAGTGCATGGACAATAAGTTGATAGACATGGAGGAGGCAGACGGCCTGGTTTGCGCTCGGAAGCATCGCCTCCTCCTCCACGCCCACCCGCGCCTCCACCCTTTCCCGCCGCTCCTCTAGCTACCCCTACCTACCTACCACTCCTACTCCTTTCCTGTCCCTGTAACGCACCGTAATACAACCATTATAAATTAATTACCACTTTACTATATTGTAATAATTAATGTGTATGTATTCCCTACCTAGACCTATTGCATGTCTCTCAAATCAAATATTCCAAGCAAGCTTGATTGTGATACAGATGGGACAGATTTCAGAGCTACTAGCAAATTAGTATATTGTTGACAGTCGTCACAGCACGGGCAGATTATATTAGTCAACGAACCACAGGATACGCTACCTTCCACAGTACTCCTAATTAAATGTACCACCTATTTAGACATTTGGCTCCTAAATTTTGACAAATTGGCTCCGCATCTCCACAATTTTATTGGCTGCTAAGGCTGCGTACGTTCAAGGAACGTTCATGTCTAGCACGGTAAACTGAGCGACTTATTAGCTTGAAAATTTTAAAATAGATGAATATGATTTTGTAAAACAACATTCCTATAAAACATTTTACAAAACACACCATTTAGCAATCCGGAAAATATGTACATGAAAAATAAGAAAATAAAGGTTGGGAAAAGAAGAGCCAAACACAATCTTAGAGTGGATGGTTCGTTTTAACAACAGAGGGAGAGATTCAATGTGCACACTTTCTATCTTTTTTTTATCTTTTTTTTAGTGTGCACGTTTTTTGAACTGCTTTTTTTTTAAAAAAATATTTATAAGAAAGTTGCTTCAAAGATTCATATCGATTCATACTTAATTAGTCATGCGCTAATGGCTTACCTTTATATATCTTGTCCTTCTCTTTTACCCCCATCTCAAGTAATACAACCATACAACCTTAGGATGCATTTTGACCATACCGACAAAGTTCCTAGGTTGATTGGGTCGATGAACATGATACACTATTTATGTGAGGTTTCTACAAGACGAAAATGAAAATATCTGATAATCCTGGTTTGAGAAACGCTACCATCAATTCTGTTTTTAGTGACTATATTAACAAATTGCCTCAATGCATGGGAAACAATTCTAAACTCTCGAGGGAACATTTCTCGTTGTTTGCATGTCACTAGCTTAAATGGTTATGATTTTTTTTAAAAAAAGTTTCAACAAGATAGATTAATATGTGATAGACCACTTTGCAAATATGCAAAATCATATTTAACTTATACAAGTTGCAAAAAAAAACAAATTTAACTGTAAATATATGTTAACTAGTTATAGTTTAATTTTTTCTCAACTTATAGAAGTTGAATTTGAACTTACATGTTTGTGGGGTGATCTATCTTCTTTATTTTTTATTTTGATGACATGTAAAAAAAAAATCCCCTCTAGAGTTTAAAATCCCATCCCATCAATGTATAGCATCTTCAAGTGTAGTAGGTCCTACTACCATCCCAGCTCCCTTATCAATGTCAGTTTGGATCTCCCATACATGATCCCACTCCACCAACCCCTCTCCACCCAACCAACCCAAGTCCATGACATATTGCAGCCACTTCTAGTCGGCTACATCACCGTTGTTTGGTGCCATGTCAACTCACCTCACCATTTGCTTTGCTTTATTTTTCTTCCTTAATTTGTTTGGAGTTCAATTGTTGTCCTACAAATTTTAGCAATATTTCTTTTCCCACTTGACTCCTAGGTTATTTATTTGAGGAAAAAAAATCAAAAATTTAATGTGAGCGTTCATCTTGCAACCGAAGTTATTATAAACCGAACATTGAGCCCCCTAAACATTCTCGAAAGGTCCGAGCTACCCCAGAAAACTGTTGTTGAGTAGATTTGCCTACACGCTGCATCAAGCCATTGACCCAACGGTTTTCCTTTCTAACACACTGACTTAATTATATATTTTGACACGCTGAATGGGAATGGATCCTGATGAAATCCCATGGGGGCAAAAAAAATGCTAATCCAAGTGTATAATGATTTGGCATGACTACAAGACAGCGTCGGTTGAAAATAGTGTAGACGCTACAATCTTTGTTTGTCAAATACAAGGTTGCGGTTCTGTTTTTCAGTTATTTTGTTTTTCAAGCCAAAGACCACGGCTTACAGTGCGGTAACTGCACAGTAACCACGAGAAAATTTTGAATTCAACTTTTTAAATATGAAATTCACGTGGTTTGTGATAACTACCGTACGGAATGTGGCCTGTGGGGGTGGCCGCGGGGGCGGACACATCCTCGAACTCACAGATGCAAATGCAATGAGAGTACCATATTTTAGGAAACCTTCTGCAGCACTACATGAATTAGCAAACAGTGTTGTGATGTTCATTGACCATTGTGCAATCAAATAAAAATTTAAAATAACACAGCGAGACAGTTAAGTACAGTCAACATACAGATGCAACAGTTTGCTTCTATTTGGTCTTTATCCCATCAGTACCTTTAGAACCACCATCATACGCAGAAAGGAAGAACGAACTCTGGTTCTTCTGCAGAAACCTACCATGAATTCCAAATTGGTTTAGTAAGCATTTTGGCTTTAAGTATGCCTAACTATCAGGGATTGCTACAATCTGGTAAGCATGTAACTAAAATTATGGTATTGACCAGAAAATTGATTGTGGGACAGATTTTCAAGCATGTTTCTAAAAGTCAGGCTAACTAGAGAGCTGCTAGTATATACAGAAGAAAAATAACGGCTGGAATTTCATGAAGAAATGAAGGTGCTAACCGACTTCACATATTTGTGTATATTGATGGGAAATGAATATGTTGCCATAGTGACGCCAACAATAAAATCAAGAAATATTTGCTTACTTGAGAATGTCCAGCAATTTCTGCTGTAGTTTGTTGAGTGCATCTTCTTCCATGTTAACAGACGCAAGTAGCTCCGGCAATTTCACTGCAAAGCAGCAAGAAGTGAACCCTTTCAAACATTGTACTTAGCCTTCCAAATTATTCTGAGTCTCAACATCCTACCGACAGTCCGACACAAAACATTCATCTCAAACAAAACCTTGTATTTCATTCAGCTAATGGGGGTTCCAATTTATTCATACCTGTGAACAATTATTACCCAGGCTCTAGTTCAAATTATAATAGAATACACAAGGGTTACAATAGTCGATGTTACCCTCTTCAACTATAGCCCTAACCTAAAAATCCAACCCTCAACTATGAAATTGGACATTTTCAAGCTCAACTACCAAAACCAGTTACAGCTGACATGGCAACTATTTCTACATTGCTTGCAAATAAGGTGCCATGTTCAGCAAAAAGTAGATAATTTGGATGCCAACTCTGCAAAAACCACCGTAAAAATCATATTGGACTGGTCTTAAGGGGCTCTTTTGATTACGCTGTTTTGTTTCATAGCTGAGAATTGATTTCTAGACAACATAATAGATGAGGAGGGTAAAATAAATTTTACTCAGTCATAACAATGTATTCAAAAGTGAAACTGATATAATTGGTTTCAACAAGAGAAGGTTTAGAAATGCAATGAAAGCTTGAAGAAGTAAATTTGCAAGTTACATTCAGGAAGAAAGTGAAATTTTGAACAGACAATAAACCTTGTTCCTAATTGTTTCCTTACTTTACTGAATAATTTATTCATTGGTGGATATCTCATATAATCGAGAACTGCACATACCAAAAAGGCGCAGTAGATGCTCGGCTCCATATATAATTGAGGGCGAAACATCACCTTTAACCTCTTCAGTGTACTGCTGTTGTTCTTTCTTATATAAAAGCATTGCAGGCAATGCTTTATCAAAGTAGCATCGCAATCCTTTCAAAATCTCAGCATAAGAGTCATTTATCCTTCAGTACAAACAATACAAAGTTTTAGTGGGTCTTTTCAAGAAAAATATATATTTTTTAAAAAAAATCTTGACAGACACAGATGATGCAAATAGGTTTTGGATAAGAATAACATAACATCTAAACCTTTGTTGCATAAGGACAGAATTTCCATAATTATGGTTATTAATATGAATATTAAAATGATTTTATAAGTTTTGGGTCTCAGACATTTAGATGTAGTGAAATTTAATCAGAAAGAGTTAAAGGTCAGTTTATGGTTTTGTGGATATACAAAGAAAAAACAGCAAACCAGCAGTCTGACCATAGGAAACCAGAATTGGCAACCTCAATGGTTCTGTTTGCTTCATGGACTGCTCATGCAATTAGACAGGTAAAAACAGGCAAATCAGAAGGTTACATATGAAACCTATGAACCATGAAAATCTTGAACCATGCAGCCAATGTGCAACATGAAAGATTTGTCCAGGGCATGGACCAATAAATGCTGGAACTCTCCTTGTGAAGGCACACAGTACAACAGAAATAATCCCACCAGTGAGGCCAAGGCGCTGAACAAGAACAGATGCATTTCAATAGCTGGTTTGACTTTTGGTGTATGGTTTTCAGTCATGTTAAGAGAATAGCATGCACATAGTAAACATACTATTGGATTATGCTGCACATAATAATCAGTAACCAAGCACACAGAACACACAGGATGAATTACAAACCCTAAGCTAAGAGTGGAAATTCTGTGGTTGTGCTGTTGCAAAACAAAGATAGAAGCTGTCAGGTGCAGCAATTGCTGTTTGCAATGTTCACGTGACATGTGATTACAGTAGTCCACATCATTAGTTGATTTATTTAAGTTAAATTTATCCCTTAGTCACAACTTACAAAAGCATGCTATACTCAGCATTGTTCCACAAAGATATAATTGGCCATACGTTTTGTATAACTTTGGATGGGAAGTTGATTAATGGCATGTGGGTCATGGGGCCAATAAAGTGTGTATCACGCTGCCACTAATTTAGCTAATTGGCTTATAAATGTCAAATTTTGCGCAAGTTTTTGCATATTATGGGTATAACATGAAGATATGAATCAACAATACATGTCATTCCCATGTCCGATACATACAGGATACAGCCATATGCAGCATTCCAGTGTATCTGGACATGTCATTCAAGTTTAGCATTTAAAATTAACAAAATGAGATACAGCAGACCCACCATCTGCATCTTATATAAAAATCCACGATTAGCCCAATATCATATTAAACCCAAATCCCTCTGTGGAGTATACTAGAAAACTTGAGAAAACTAATGAGCATTCTGGAGGAAATGCATAATCAGAAATTCAGAAAACCATTTTAAGGTATCCTAGGGTGAAACATATTAGTTGAAAATTGAAGGGAAATGCAGCAGATGTCACATGGAACATGCAACTTGGGTGTGTTCCTCGTTCCGGATCGAGGAACGGGAACTATGTGGAACTTCATCCCGAAAATGGATGGAACATGGATGGAACTTCATCTCGAGAGTGGTCCCAGTACAAGGTATGATAGAATAACGAGTAGAGCAGTATGATACAGAAATGCAGCACAATGGAGCAAATGATGGAAAGGCAATCCAAAATTTCCAAGCAAAATCTATAATTTGATTAACTTTCACTAAATTTGAACTCATCTGGATGGGACGAACGTTGTTGTTGCTCCCTCGCTGCTCGCCAACGTCCTGCTGTGCATGTACGAGCGTCAGCAACATCATGCAGTGGAGAATGGACAAGCATTGCCCTCGTCACGCTGTGGGACGACCATGGAGTGATAGAGGGATGTTCCAAACAACTTAGGAATGTGTTCCAACTAACGTTCCATGTTTTAGGAAGAGGTATACCCCTAACGTTCCATGTTTTTAGAAAATGGCATCCCGTGTTCCTCGTTCTAGTTCCTCAATCCATCGATCTGGGAACTTTTGTGACCACGGCACCAAGACCTGTCCAAAGGTGATAGTCCCTATCTTTGTTTTACATTATCTTTGTATATATGTGGGAACCTACCAAAATTCATGAATATTCATCTGAATAGCCATTTTTTTTATAAAATTCTATAACACACTACACAAAAGTAACTTTGCCTAGTTTGTCAGTGAGTAATCTTAAACTCAGCGATTCTCATGCACCAGCATCCTCCTGTTTTTTTTTCTGTTTATTTGTTAAAATTAGAGTAACTTCCAATACTTTCTGAAAAATACATCAATTATAATTCAAAAGCATGTTAGACTATAATATCTTTCCACATTTTATTTTATCCCTTCTTCCAATTAAAAGACTTGTAACTTCTTTGCACCTCTGAAAGTTTACTCGAATACTCGTTACTCGTTCCTTTATTTTCCACTCATTCTCTCAATGACATGTTGGTCCAGGGTCCACATGTCAGCAAGACATTAGGGGTAAAGGGATCACATGGATTTTCAAGTAGCAAATAAGGAATTGCACCAATGACACTAACATTTGTTTAAAACATCATGGTGTATGCCTCGATACCTACAGTAGAATTCCATATCCCAACACTGTTTATAACTTGTTGTGTCAAAGATATGCCAATAAATAAGAATTTATGTTTATATAGAATGCTTACTTGTTATCCTTCTTTGTTCGGTGCTCCAAGTACTTCTTTAGAATATCATCGACAGTGGGGGATCGAGGTAGCTTCACAAGCTGCAGAACAAGGAAATTGGCTCAGGAAAGAAGCTGGTGAGAATGATAAACAGTTAACTTTGGCATACTGATAAAGTGATAACTGAGGACAAACTCATCGTATTTGTAGTTTTATAACAAGTACCTTTTCCTGTCAGGAATTAGTGCAACATAATGACTTGAAACATTCAAGTCTGTCTAGTTGTTAGTAATTCTTCTTGAAATAGTAACCTTTTTGGGGAACCTTAATTCTTACAATTTTCCATACTACACAATTCTTACATGAGAAATGAACATGACAACATGTTGGCATCAGTCAATCATGTTCAAAAAGGTGCAGAAAATCCAGCTCCACAGATACACGAAATATACAAAATATACAGGATATATCTAGGTAAGTTTGAGTGGCATATATCAAGGTTGTTTGTCTAACAGTAAGGTGGTATATGTCAAAATTTAGCTGCGGAATGTACAATGAACAATATATCCACTGGTCAAGATTGCTAGTTTTTTTTTTCTGAAGGAAATAAATATTGCTAGTTTTCATTCTCTTATTAGTTCCTATTTGATACAAATATGCTTCTCTTAAGTACCTGTTGTTTCCATGCCAATTCAGAGACAATATTCAATTATAATTGAACAATGAGGAGTGTGCTTTGGACATAAATAATTCAAAGACGGCTCAGAGAAAGAATTGAATACCTTACCCAGCTGCGTGACAAACTCCCAATCATCAACAAGTTGTTTTTTTAGTGTTGAAGGAAAATGTGACATGAAGAGACTCTCAGATGATTTTCTTTCTTTCTCCTGGATCAAACAGGGCAGAGTTGTCACTATGTTTACAAATATGTCACAAGAAAACTTGATAGATAAAATGTTCTACCATATGATTGCCAAATATAGCTGAAAGCTTCAAAATGTAAAATTTATCAGTCTGCAAATAGGTAGGTCACGAATTCTCTTCGCACAATGTAAAACATTAGTTTATAGTTCCAGTTTAAATTTAACATGTGTTCTAAATTTATCCATACTACACAATTCTTACAGTTAGATTATTTTTGCTGGTAACCAAACATCATTTAGTCCAGAAATTGGATTGTTGTGTAAAGAACTAAACGAAGCACTGAAGCAACATGATTTCCTATTCATCATTACAATTTAGAATGTTGAGAAAATAAAATTGTCATCATCATACAACAAAAGGTCCACGTCGACCATAGAATGTTCCCATTTTCCACATGTATGCTGCAAAATGAGCATAATTGCCAAACCATGTAGTACTAGAAAATAAAAAGAAAACTAATAAAAAAGTATTATTAGTTCAAAGGAGCAGAAATATGCATAATATCAGTAGTTTAGAAACGATATCTCAAAAGGCAAATTGCAGTATTATAATTGATAGAAAATGAAATTCATGGAAATCAAATACTTCACAATAAAACATATTTGAAAGTGAGAGGCACCTCAGTCCCACCAGGCTGACTTTTGCGTTTCTTCCCCTTGACTGCAGTTTTAACATCGCAGAGATCAAATGTAATAAGTATCATACAAATCAGAAGAACCATGAAGGCATGAACCACCAGAGACAATGATACAAGAACTTTGAAAAATGTATAAGTGAACTTACCAATAATCTTGGTGTCCTCTTTATCAGTTTTTGCATCTGCTGAATGCAATTACCATAGGTAAGTAAGATATATTTAATTAAAAAAGTAAGACATTAAGTGGAAACCCATCCTTAGGTGGAAGCATGGGAAAAATTTTGGTATAACCACTATAACAGCATGGTTTATTCCATTCCCAATGTAGCAAATAGAGTGGTAGCACCCCTTTAAAAATTCAATGTGCCAGAAAGAAAAATAAATGTTGCAAATAGGAACTTCTATCTTTTCTTTCCCTTTGGTTTACCATTGGTCATCATTTCTTATTTCTAGAAGTACAAATAAAATTACAGTTCAAATTCAATAAACAGATAGTTTAACAATTGAAAAGAACATATACAATGTTCTAAGAGTTTTCATGCTGAATTGGTATCAAAGCCATGGCAATTTTCATGATTGGACTGAGAGATAGTTTCCACCATAAAACAGAAATATGATCATGAATTCATAACCATACCAATATGAAAAAGTATGAACGGGAAATTTCAGAATGTCCTATATGCGTAGTACCAACACCCATAACAGTAATCTACCACGTACTGTACACTAACTATCACAAAATTACTCCAAGATTGGTTCACAACTCCAAACTTTGGAAGAAATATCTCCCAGGGTGAAGTTTGAGCTTAATCCGTCAATGTAAATGATCACAGCATTCAGTTATAAGTTATAACCATCCCATATTCACAATCTCTTTGCCATTTGGCATTTCTACTCTTTTAACTACAGATTAAGCATTTCCAAGATGATTGATTCTATTAGCAAAATACAAAATTTATAATAGAAACATAACACTCACAGCTATAGAACATAGTAAAAACGACCATTTGGCAAAATAGTTCCTAGAAAGGAAGCTCCCAGTGGAATAGTCTAGACATGATCCAACAGCACAAACATTGATTTAACACACAGATAGCTTGTCACGGATAGAAGTAAAAACTATCGACCCAGTAAAAAAGCATGCGTAATCAATTCCAATGGAAACAATACGGAGAAGAGGGAGGAATAAGCTAACCATTAGAACCTTTTGGCTTATGCTGCGCTGACCGTCCAGATTTTACACTTTTGTCAACTGCTTGGCTCTTTTCAAGCTCTTGTTGTTTGCGGATATTTTCGTCGGTCAATTTCAGTAAGCGATCATTTGTGACCCATTCATCCCAGCTGTACTCATTGAAAATAAACACAATAAGAAGACTGTTTACTTGGATTAGGAGAGCAGAAAGACAACTAAATAGCCTCAGTGCAATGATAGAAACAAGCCCCTCAATAGGATTCACGCTGTACTCATTGAAAATAAACATAATAAGAAGGCCATTTACTTGGATTAGGAGAGCAGAAAGACAACTAAATAGCATCAGCGCAATGATAGAAACAAGCCCCTAAACAGGATTCATGAAAATATTAAGAAAAAAAATTGCAACGTAAGGGCAAAGATGTGAGACTACCCAAACATGGTGTTAGACAACAATATGGCCCTGCCAGAAAAATAAAAAGACACTAGAACATGCATAAGGTAATCCATATCCAGCTCAAGGTCCAAAATCCAACTTAGACACTTTTAAACTGTCAAAGGCCTCAGTGAAATTTTTCATCCGGCACAAGTATTAAACAAATTTGTGTTGCCATCACTTCAATTCACACATGGAAAATGGATTGGTCATAATTAAAAATATGTCAAGTCATCTGGGCTCCAGGCACTCACTCAGGTCCTAAATCAAAGTCAACAAAACAGGCATAGGATCACTTCCCCAACTGAGACATAACAGATCAAGTTCTAGAGATGATTTCATCAACATAATCATTCAATCATCATATGTTTCACAAACGAATCTAATGGTTTCATTTACAAGTGAATCTATAAATAGCATTTGATATATTGGTGGTCAAAACTATAAAAGTTTGATTCGACGGTTTCAAAAACATCATATATTTCCATTACACAACAAAGAGACACAGATGTAGCCCAAAGTCTGTTCTGAATTCTATGGCTTTGACATGATGCTATGCTGTAGTTCTGTATTAATCAGATTGAGGCCAGTGCAGATTCATGAGAAGATTTGCATACTTTCACATATCTCATGGTACTACATGTAAAAATAATGTCAATTGCTTGATAGAATAAAACATCAAATGCATCATACAGGTACAGGTACAGATCTTCCTTGTATGGTTAGAAAAATATTCACATCAACATAAAGAACTGGAAAGCATTGGTAATAAGTTATCAGCTATAGGTAAGCATGGAAGACTTATCGATCATCCATGGTATGCACTTGCCTCTTACTCCAACCCTAGAAAAGAAAAGAGGAAGATTAAAGCAAGACAAAGAGGGGGGAGGAGGTGCCAAATATATTATACAGGTAACGTGGATATCGTAAGGGAACACCCAAAGTTAATGCATCATTTTTAAGCACTTGTCATGGTGTACAATGGCGACGGAGACTTACAAGATAATGCACGTGATACCGCCACTCATCCTCCTTGTTTTCGGACTTTTGAACCTTGAGAAATCCAGAAGACAAAATCTATTGGGGAATGCAATTAACAAGCGAAAGAAGGCTAGGAAATTCAAGTATGGGAGCGGAGCAACTATGGAGGCCATTTGCAGAGAAGCAAAATTAAATGAACGAAATCCGGAGGGGAGGGGAGGGGAGGGGACTAGAACCCTAGGTTGGATTGGAGTGGAATGGGAGATAGGGGCGGACCTTGGCCTCGTAGAGGAGGGGGCCGTGGTAGGCGAGCACTCTCTCGCCCTCCTTGAAGGACGGCGATGTCTCGTCGTGCTTGTCCTTGCCACCGCCGCTTCTGGTGTTGGTGTTGGTGTTGGAGCTCCCCCCCATGCCAAATCACCCAATCTTCTTTCTTGTAGCCGGCGGCGGCGGACGGCGGACGGCGGACGGCGGTGGGCAAAGAGGCGTGCTAATGGCGGCGCGGCGGGGCGGAGAGAGAGACTATGCCGGGGCGGTTTTGAACGTTGGAAGCCAAGCAGTAGGGGCTCTTTGTGGATCGGAACTGCCGATTTCTGCTTTACTAAAAAGAAAGTCGCAACGGGAAGAAAAGATATTTACATCGAAATATTTGGCTATGGTTGGATTTAATCTTTAGTAAATTAGTCATCATTAATAACACTTTTTCAAAATTTGTTGGAATTTCTAGAGTTTAATTGTCAATTTTGATTATATAAACATCATTCATTTCAGTATTTATTTAAATAAAAATCATCATTCCTCTTTGGGCCATTTTCAGCCCATTCTTCCTTAGCCCGCAACCGAGTCGGCCTACTTTCCTCTCTTCTCCTCCCCTTCGCCTCAGCCCGCAAGCAAGCGTCCAGCCCAGCAAGCAAACTAAAGTCTAATCAGCCTCTCCAAGTACTACTCTCACTATCATGTGGGCCCTAACTGAAAGTATAACCTAAGCGTAGTGTTGGACCCGACAGACAGCACGTGGCCCAGCAATGATACGACCCGACGATGGAGACCAGCTCGATATGGGATCGATGTGAGCATCTGAGTCGTCGTTCGTTTTGATGGATGGCTCAGCTCAGATCGGTTCCAAATCAATCAAAACCACATGTGCCAAAAAAAACCCTGACCCTATTTCATTTTTTCCCTCCCTTTCCTACCGTCGGCCGCCTCTCCCCCTCTGTCGCTCTCTCTCCATCGCTTCCCCTCCCCCACCGGCAGCGCCGCTCCTTCTCCCCCTCTCCTCCCGTGTCGCAGGCACGGCACGGCGACGGTGAGAGTACGACGCGATGCAGCAATGGTGGGTACGGCACGGAGACGGCGAAGACGACAGCGACGGTCGTCCCACCTCCTCTCCCTCTTCCCGTAGGCCTCGACGCCAAGGGGGAGGGTACAGCGGCCATAGGCGATGACAACAGTGATGCCGCTTCCCGGCTAAGGGCTGGATGCACCCCGACGGCTCACATCGGTGGCTTAATGCTCCATGAATCCGGTATGTGATCCAAATTAAAATTATTTGCCACTTATATAGACAGATCACCCTATATAAATATATGTATCGGCTAGGTTGGATTGAAATCAATCCGGAGGGGAGGGGAGGGGACTAGAACCCTAGTTGGATTGGAGTGGAATGGGAGATAGGGGTGGACCTTGGCCTCGTAGAGGAGGGGGCCGTGGTAGGCGAGCACTCTCTCGCCCTCCTTGAAGGACGGCGATGTCTCATCGTCCTTGTCCTTGCCACCGCCGCTGCTGTTGTTGGCGTTGGTGTTGGAGCTCCCCATATGCCAAATCACCCAATCTTCTTTCTTGTAGCTGGCGGCAGCGGACAGTGGACGGCGGCCGGCGGTGGGTAAAGAGGCGTGCTAATGGCGGCACGGTGGGGCGGAGAGGGAGACTATGCCGGGGCGGTTTTGAACGTTGGAAGTAGTAGGGGCTCTTTGTGGATCGGAACTGCCAATTTCTGCTTTACTAAAAATAAGTCGCAATGGGAAGAAAAGATATTTACATCGAAATATTCGGATATGGTTGGATTTAATTTTTATTAAATTAATTAATCATGATTAATAACACTCTTTCAAAATTTGTTGGAATTTCTAGAGTTTCATTGTCAATTTTGATAATATAAACATCATTTCAGCATTTATTTAAATAAAAAGGAATAAGTTCACTTTGGGTCACTCTATTTGTCGCCCAGTCCGATTTTCGACCCATGACCACAAAAACGGGTATGACCCATCCCCCAACTTACAAAAACCGGGCAAACGTGGTCCCTCGGTGGTTTTAAAGGTGGTTTTGGCTGACGTGGCGCATACGTGACATGTTTGACTAGGTCTCCATCCCACGTGACATTGACGTGGCGCTTACGTGGCAATTATACGTAACATCCTCAAATTTTAAACTAAATTTTGACTGCATCATCCTGGCTTTTGATTAAATTAGTGTGCTTTAAAAATCTATTTGACTCTTCAATTGGTTCAAGTATTACTTTCTTAGAGCCCTACTAATTTACCCTAATTATTCCCTTTATTCCAAACCTTAGTGAATTTGAGAAAATTCTCTCAAATTTCAAACCATAGATTATTTCCTTAGTTTATCCTAATATTAGTGAGGATTTGCTATACTTCAAATCCTAGTGAAACTCTTTCAAATTCATAGATTAAATTCATTCTTTTCTAGGGAAATATTCAAAAATTCCTGAAAACACTGTTCATTGCACTCAAGGTGCTCGACAAAATGCCCAGCCCAGCTAGAGCAGCCCAATCACCACCCAATCTTGTGCAAAGTCTAGAATTGATCCTAGGGGACCACATCCCACTCAAAAAACCACGGTTTAGTTGGCCTTCTCCTCCCCCTTGCGCGCGCCGTCCTGGCGTCTGACTTTGCCGCGCGCCGAGCCGCCGCGCGTCGGTCTCCGGATCGATCGCGCGTGTCCGACCGCCTTGGCGTGCCGCTAGCCGTTCGACGCCCTTAGACCACCACCGCTGCACCAATCACGACGACAACGAAGACAGAACGACCACCGCCGCAAGAAATCACCGCTCGACGCCGTGCGCACCCGTCCAAAGCCGCCGCCGAGCACGATTTCGCTTCTACCCCGGGTGAATCGCACCAATTCTTGCCGCACAGTTGGATTAAAGTTAGACGGTGGTTTCCCCTCTCACAATTCAAACCATTCACCCCCAAGTCGGCTGTTTTCACCCTCGCCGCCGCTGCGCGTCGCGCCCGGATTGGCGCTAACACATCGCCAGCCGATTTCGCACGCGGTCAAGCCAATCCTTCGCCGGTAAGTATTCAAACATGGCCTCCCGCCACTCAAATTGATCTTGCCCGCCCTCTCACAGCCTCTGCCGCCCTAGCCATATCCAAAGCTCGAGCTCATCCATGGCGATGACGGTGCCCGAGCTCATCCATTCCTCCCAGCCCTATAAATAGGACCCCAATCCCTTCCTTGTCCATCATCGATCATCAACAACCATCAACCACCATCACCCCACAACCCCAAAGCTCTGCTTCACTAATCCATCCCATCAACCACCATCACCCGTCGGTCGAACACCTTGTACGCGATCGACTCCACACCTCTCCCTCCATCCTCCGCCCTAAATATCCCTTAGAACACCTTATATCAACTATGTTCTAGCATAGTAGACCCTAACCAAAGTCCTGCGTCAAGTTCTACCTCGTCGCGCCAAGCCGAGCACCGCCGCCCCCACGCTGCTCTGTTCTTCGCCGCCGCGAGGTTTTTCCGGCCGCAATCCTTCATCTCGACATAACTCGGTGAGTTCTTCCGTTTCAACCATCTACATACTACCTAGATTCCATTTTATCAATCCCTTTGCACTATCATGCCACCCTCTGAGCTGCCGACGTGAGCACGGCCGCCGCCTATGGCGGCGCTCGTCAGCAACTATTCTCCGCACCTTGCCAAAGGTCGGCAAGCTGCCGGAATCCCTCCAAACACCTCATAGATGCTCTAGAACCCCTCCCCTAGCCATGTCTAACTCATATTACTTCGATCACCAACACGGCCTAACCGTGCCACCGCCGCCCTAGCCGCCAACCCATCCACATATCAAATTAATCCCTCCGCCGCCGCTCGCCGTCGCCGGAGATCCCTAGCTCCCTCCCCTCCTCGGCCGCAACCACTTTCTCCCTCTAGCGCCGCCGTAATCCCAAACCCTAGCGCCGCCGGCCCGATTTGGGGAACGGCCGAAGGTAGAAGAAGGGAAGAGAGAGAGACTGATAGGTGGGACCCGCACACAATAACATTTCACTTTTATTTGATTTTCAAACTTTAAAAGCCCATATATTTTAAAATATAGATCCAATTCCAGTGAAACTTGGACCAATATTCTTCTAAAATCATTCTCTATCCTTTGAGCCTCTTTTTGCTATTTTTGCATTTTATTTTATTTTCTCTATTTTTCATATTTTTGGATTTTATTTGAATTCCTTTTAAATTTGAATTTTATATATGTCTAACCCTAGGTCTTGAGGATTCTTCTGACTCAATAGATAATATCAATCAATCTCAGGACATCGAGCAAGGCAAGTTACCATATACCTGTTGATCATTTAAGCTTATATTTTACAAATTATTTATTTATAGCCTTCTATTCAATACTCTATTTTATATGCACAATTCAACCAACAATTCAACCATAGAAACCCAGATAATTTAGTATTGCTTACTTTGCTTACAATCTGGTTAAAATATCTTATACTTAGATTGGGACAGTACGTAAGATTTGGTTGATTTTCGGGTGGCTAGTACTGTCTCGATCGATATAAGTTTTACCAGGTACTTATGTCGAATGAACGGGTACGACCACAGTTTCTAGAATGGGGACAGACCTAGTTATTATATTAATTAGCAATATGGCACCTCTGTATAGTGGTTCTTATTTTTAAGTCCTCACGTAGGAGGCAACTATAGCCGCGAAGGGCAACTTTAACCATTACCATGTACAGGTAAATGGTTTGTGATACTCGAGTATGAACTATATGGTATATTTCTAAACCTTGATCGAGATGACGTGTTGTCATACGATCAGTTCCCCTTAAATATCTCGGGAACGCCAGAACTCCTCTTGCTGCTGTTAACAATACGTTCAGAGCATATGAGGATATAAGTTCATGGAACAGGTGCCATAATTGTTAATGACTTAATGCTGGGCCATGACTAAAGCGTACATCTGCTGCAGTAGAATATCTTTGAAACTATTCGAATAGCCGTACTCATGGAGTTGAGTACCGGGACTCATATGCTACCCTGGTTAGAAATCTAAAGTTTATAAGTTTTACAAATTCTTGCTATAACTCTTCCAAATTGTTTATTACTACTTTTTGCAAAGAACCCTACTATATGTCAATGCATAACATATTTCCATGATAACTTGCTGAGTATTGTAAATACTCACCCTTGCTCTTATAACCCCTTCTTCAGATCTGGGTCAAGAGGAGGACCCTTATGACTATTACTACGATGACTCCGATAACTTAGAGAATCCCTAAAGGTTATCCCTCACTAGTCAGAA